CTCTTCAACGTGACTTTACCGAAAAAACTAAGAATATGAATTACTGCAGTCACGAAAGCTTTAAATCAAAACTGGATACTTGTTCATTTGTCGACACCAAAACGTTGAGAGCGTTGTTGTTCTGAAGAGTTGCTGTTGAACCTGGCTCTGCTGAATTTCAATGATTTCGTCGAGGAATTCATCATTGACATCTGCTGTTTCAACAGCAAACGTGAACGTCTGTCTCACCCATGCTGGATATGACTCTCTTGTAGGGAAATATCCGTCGAGAGACTTTGCAAGCTCATCTAAGTGCGTGGCAATTGTTTGCTTCAGTTCCGTGGATACAGAAATATCTCCGATTCCAGACACATCTTCGATCTTACTTGCACAGTCGTCCAGAAGCGGGAAGTTTGCGAAGTTATTGTTCTCTGTTCGTCGTTTCCATAACGGTAGCTTTTTTTGAAAAGCCTTCAGGTGTTCTTCCGCTTCCATGATATTGACTCCACCACCCTGCATCTGCTGATTGAGATGATTGAGAGCTGCGAATATATCAGCCATGTACGCTAAAATGAGAATGAACTCAGGATTTTTGAAGCAATCTGCATGGCAGTGTTGGTGCTCTTGCAAAAACAGGGCTAATTCCACACGCATGGCAAAAACACGATTCAGCACATGTCCCCGGGATAACCACCGAATATTAGAATGGAGCAGAAGTACCTCAAATTCAGAGCCCATTTCTTTACACAGCTCACTGAAGATGCGGTGCCTCAGAGCACTTTTTCACACATAGTTCACACATTCCACCACAGTTTTTAATACTTCTGCCATTTTTGGAGGTAAGGTTTTTGTTGCCAACGCATGCCTGTGCAGAATACAATGCGTCACAATGATGTGTGGTGCATCGGCCTTTACTAGCGCACCAAAACCAGACTTTCTTCCCAGCATGACTGGAGCTCCGTCCGTACAAACTGCAGAAACCATATCCCATGAAAGATTGTTGTCTCTGAAGAAGTCATCCACAAGCTTCTTCACATCGGCTGCCTTCGTTGTTGTTGTAAGAGGCTTACAAAATAAAAACTCTTCTTTTATCATGTCGTCTTTCACATAGCGTACAAAAACAGCAAGCTGGCTTAGATCAGAAACGTCTGTGGTTTCGTCGAGTTGAAGGCTGAATTTTGCCGGGCTTGAAATCAGATCCGCGACTACTTGAGCCAAGATGTCTTTACTCATGTCTTCTATTCTGTCACTGACGGTGTCATTTGAAAGGGGAATTTGGGATAATTTACCTTCGGCCGCTGTTCCGAGTATCAGATTCGCCATCTTTAATGCAGCTGGTTTCACAAGTGTTTCACCAATGGTGTGTGGCTTGCCCTGCTTTGCGATCAGGTAAGCAACTTCGTACGATGCTGTCAGGATCGGTTTGTTAACAGGTACAAATCCAAGAGCAGGCAGAGTGGCCCTTTCATCGAATCTGGCTCTCTTCACCCTGAATTCAGCAAGTGTTGTGTTCTTGTATTCCCCGTCTCCATGCAGCTTCAAGAAGTGTTCCTTTAGTTTTGCCGGTGCAAGACTAGAGTTGCTCAACTTGGCGTTGCAAATCATGCAGATAGGACGCTCACTCCCATCACGTTCCGTGATACATGAGAATCCATGTTGTACATATTCGTCCGACCACTTTCTTCTTTTGCCCGACATAGTTAGTATGGATAAAATATTAAAGAAATCACACGACGTACGACAACAACAGTCACACGTTGACTACTGAGTACGCACTAAATTCCCCGCAGCGCTGATTGGCCAAGCAGTGTAGCATGATCATCTGCAGCCAGTGATGGCCAAGCGGGCCGTGTGTGTCATCACAAATTTACACAATAATTCAAGTGTGTCCGGACCTCCGTGGCGGGGGCTCTGCCGAACCCCTGAGATCGACTCACCGAACCCCTGGGGTTCGATCGAACCCAGGTTAAGAACCACTGGTCTACAAGTACTGTTCACAGTTAAAGGGAGTGTGCATTGATATGACCATGATCACCAGCATGTTGTTTGCTCACCGTGGCGATGCAGTAGGGCAGCGTGTTCTTGCAGTCGGGGCACACCAGTTCACACTCAGGCAACTGAAAGCTGCAGAATGGGCATCGGCTTGATGGTTCCTCTGCCTCTGATGTGTCTGGCCTCCTTTGCATCCACACAGGGATAAGGGATGACAGGTAATGATAATCACACAATTAAAACATAATACAGTAAAAATACTCTTAGCCGGATTTTGCATTTAGCCAGATCATGTTGGCCAACAACAAAAAAACAAATGTACCGTATAAGAAATCAAACTAAATTTTAAAATAATTACCTTACATATGGACCATCAAAGTTAAACCTCTTCTCCTAACAATCGTCATCGTGGAGGGTGCCCAGCTCTCTCCGATCTAACATTGACATGCAAATATCTTCACTAGCCCCACCCACTTCACTGATGACCCTTGGGCTACACCCATCTCAAACCTTTATAACATCCTGCCTCAGCAGCTCTCTTGCTATTTTTTCACCCAATGACGATTGCTTGCGTTGCGATCGAAACGTCGCGATATTTTTATTATTTTTTCTACCTACGTGGCTTTACCGAAAGACCCAAAGAAAATGAGAATCATGCTTTGAATTACAGAGACGGAAAAAGCAACACATAGATCAGGAAACAAACACAACTGACAATTAAGAACGGTAAATGGGCTTGGGGATGACACATCGTAAGACAGAATGATGGCCAAACAACACTGGAATGTCAACCAAATGAGAGATCATGTCCAATGACGGCCACCGCTGAAATGGAGTGCAGGAGTGACATGGATGGAAGTAGCACTGTACCGTGAGGGATAGCGATAGCTTGGAGAACCTTCATTCAGTCGTAGTTCATAGACAATGGCTCATGATGATAACAATCATTTTTTGTGATGAATGAGAGATTGGCATGAAGCTGACCTGACGATGGCCTCAATTTTCTTCTTGTACTTGGGGTCAATCTTTCCACGGTACTCGGGCCGCATGAGCATGGCTGCGTAGCTGAAGGAGGAGTTCTTGAGGCCCGCGCGGTGACACTCAATCACTGTCGACGTCAGGATCTGCACAATGTCTGCTCCCAGGTATGGTGAAGCACAGATGAGACAATCACAGAAACTTTAAAAAGCATAAAACATACACATGTGGTTACGTTTCAGCTTAATTTTTGACATAAACTTTGAGCCATGCCTGTGCTGTACGCAGGTGAAATGCTTTCTATAGACAATACTGCTTTACAAAAACAGGGCTCTCTTAGCATTGCAGCTATAGAGGCTCTCAAAGCTAAAGTAACTGGTATTTATATTTTATTTAATATTGCATCACACATATAACCACTGAACATTTGTGTATCCAATGTCCATAAAAACACAATCATAGTTTGCGATGCTAATTGATTCAGTATATGTATTTTTAAATCCTTGACTGCTCATGTATATTTAGCAGCCTTTCTAGGTCTAGTGACTCACGAGATGGGAACCTGCTGATGTTGTTGGCCACCCTGATAAGCATGCGGGCTCCCTTCATGTGGTCGCCACGTCGCACATGCATCTGTACAAGTAATCAGTGCACACCAGGGCAGAATGAGTGGTTTGCATTAACAGGAACAGCGACATTTTGTACACACTATAACATGTCCATTATTGCTCAGTATTCTTGTGGAAACTATGCACAACTCAAAACTGAAAGTGGCAAAAATGTGTTTTGAACACATCTCAAATTGAATGACCACAGTAAAATGTAAACCAATTTGAAGAAAACTAATTTAATAGGGAAAACTACAGTAACTGCTGTGGCCTGCATTTAATGTTGCATTGGAATTGATTATGCCGATACTGAAATTTATTGAACTATTGAAATAAAAGAATGCAGCCTGGTGCTGTTGAAATATAATGCAGGCAAATGTTCAGTGTGACAATTTTAATGATGCATATTGAGCAAGGGACGATGGGGCCCATACCTTAACCAGCACGTAGCTGTGCAGGATCATGAGATTGGTGGCCATCTCGGCGGGGACGCGGATCTGCTGCGCTTTCAGCTCCACATACATGCTGAACAGCATGTCATGCGCGCTTCGGTAGTTCCCTGTGGCACAAGCAACCAGCGTATGTGAATGCTGAGCAGTGCTTTCCAATTTAACAAACTACATACATCAAGGGCTGGCTTAGATGGCATACTGGTCATGATACTTGTTTCTGGATTAAGGATATGATGATTACAATTAAATATTCTTGCAGAGTACATATTTGTCTGTATACATATAGAATTATCTCCTGATTTACGAACGTTCCGTTTACAACATTTCGCATTTACACAATTGACAAATTATGGAATAAAAAATGTCTATGAACAAAATTGAATTTCCGTGTGACCAAAGTTTCACATGGCATGTGCCGTGAGATCAAATCAGAGGCACCCGGGAGGCTGCGTCATCCATCCTTGACAGCGTCACAGTATCCCTGCAGCGCAACAGTAACACGCCTCCAAATAACCTTCCCAGTCATTCCAACATGCTGATCTTTTGGTGACTTGCCTGAAAAGGTTAATTATTTGTATTTTAAATTAATTATTATTTAATAGTTTTTATATTTATATTCTTCATTACTTTGTATTGTGAATAGTGAAATCGGTGTATATTTTTAGGTTAGGAGTATAGTTAAATGAATGGGAAAAGCTATTCATTTACAAAACATTTATTTTACACGTGTTTTTTGAAGAACGCATCCCTTTTGTAAATCGAGGGATACCTGCAATGTATTAAGAATGGCTGGCTAAGCTCAAAATGAAACGATTGAAATTAGAAATGAACAATAGTGCTCTAGCAGAGCCGCTTGCGCCAGCCTTCGCGCATGGCCCGTGCTCGCACCAGCAGCCTGTTCCTCGCGGGCGATGATGATTGCCGTGCGTGCTGCCTCGTGGTACTGCTTGAGTGCCATGTAGAGCCGGAACAGGTACTTGGCGTCCTGGGGCATTTAAAAGGAATGCACGGCACACTGAGTTCCGACGGTGCTGAATGCCCAGAACAATCCAGACAGCACAACCTTCTATGTCAATGTGGACATTTTCTCACCATTTTCTCCCAATTATATTCCACAACGCACGAGATGGTGTCAGATCACGAGAAGACTACATTTCCATTTGGAACCGCTTTAACTAAAAATAGCATCACCTGGCGTCAGAGAATGGCCCATGAAAGATGACGCCACAAAACTACTCCCTTGAATTGCCTCTAATCAACACTAAGAATTGCATCTTTTCATATACCCTTTGTTGCATGACAATCAAAATGTTTTTCTCAGAGCTGGAATATGTCGAATTAATTAAAATAACAAAGTTAACGTGGGGTATTCTGCATTAATTGTTAACTGGTTTAAACACAGGTGGCTGAAACCTGGAATTTAACTCGAGTTCTCAGAGTAGGAAGATGAGTGCACTGACATGCCCATTAGCTTACCGAGTCACCCCACCATCTACAAGAAATGTTAACTTTACCACCCTCAAACATGCTTTGTGATTCCACATTTGAAACATAAGCCATCACAGATTTTCAAAGTAGCTAACAAATAGTTTTTGCAATAAATATGCTATAAGCTAATCAAATTATAATGATTATTTACCAATCCTGCAATGTTTTTTATTAACGCATCCTGGATACATATTGGGAGGAATAAAAACACCCTTAATTTAAATATTTAACTTGGCTGATAATTGCTCTTTCAAATGTAGAAAGACAACTAAAAAACAAACAGACCTAATCTTGCAAATATGTACTGAGGCTATGTACTCTGGACAGTCTGACACATTTTTGAAGCTTTGTTACTCAAAAAATTAACTTTAAAGTTAAGAGCCAAGCAACTAAATACGGCAATATGGCACTCTAGTTACGTATCTGTCCTCACTCCCGTGCATTTTAATACAATGCCACCAGACAATGCTCCGAAGGAGTACCTACATTTAAAGTGTATTGCTCTTATTCAGCTTCAAACAAGTGTCGGACACTCAAGGTCACACAAATAATTTGTGCATCTACAGGAGCATATTTTTGAGTTGTGTTTTTCATAAAACAGGATGTATTATTTTGTCCACATGCACTCTCAAAATTAGTGGTTCATACTAATATACAATTTCTATCAAGTCGCATGAGAGCTCGTTTGTATAGAAGCAAAGTTAGTCACAAAGAGAGCATCACTGAGCTACCAATTAGAGCAAGTCCTGTTCAGTGGACCGTGCTGCTCTGGTGCAGTTTGGTCGGCACAAGGCGGTACTCACCGCAAGGCAGTGATTAAAAAGCAGCATGGTGCAAAGAAGAACACAGGTCAATGTAGCAAGCAGCCAATGCAAACATCACAAGGGAATGGAAAAACAACCAACACAAAAAAGAACCGGTAAGAACACTAAACACTTATTGTATCAACACAGTATGGGAATGTTAGAAAGCTAAGCAATACAACGAGACAAAGATGTAATAGTCTAAGAGCCTTTACCAATTTTCCAGTGTCACTGTGGAAGACTAAATCAATGTGGAAGGGAGGAGGGTTTTTTATTTTCATGCACCATACAGATCATTTAGCAAGCAACATCTAACACGAATATCCAAAGATTGACAGCCACTGCTCTTAACCATCAAAGGGAATCGATGCAGAATGAGTTTTACCTTTGGCATCCCGTCCGTCTCTCCCATGAGATGATCAATGAGATGATTTGTCAGCATCATATCCTTGGCCCTTCCAACCTTGGGGGAGAATTAAACAAAAATCAATCTTTCTCTTTTCCAGTCTATTTAATTGTGTCCTCATAAGTAAACCACAACTAAAGGCATTTAATTTGTGAACACTACACATGTGCCACAAAGATAAGCACCCCTATAAACTAAACCATAAATACAATGATTTTCGAGAATTAAAAACAATGTGGAAATAATGTATTTTTTTTTATCAAGTACACTAACAAGTTAAACTACATTACAATGAATGTTTTGGGTAAAAATTACTTACAAATAAAACAAAAACTAGAAACGCTAGAAATGTGTCAATGCACCTACAGATAATTACCGTTTCAATGGCCATGTCAATAGCTTGCCCATTGTCTGCTCCCTGACAAAGCAGAAAGTGCTTCAGCGCCTGTAACAGAGTAATACATCAGCAACAGCTGGTGGAGATATGGCTAACACACAGTAGTGTGTGCACGGAAAATATAGATCAAATGAAGTTTAAATAACTAACAACTGTCTGTTGTATGATATAATATCAAGATTTATTTTTACAATACAAAAGATTACTTTAAAACAATAACAACTTTTTAAAGGCATCTTAATACACATTATGTCCCCAAAATATACCTTTGAATATTGCTGGCACAACAGAAAAAACTTCCCAGCCAGAAAGTGTTTCTTCTCGTTCTCAAAATGCATTGCAATGCTTTGGTAGTCCTCAGGAGTGGCATCCGCACCTGAAAACAACACAAAATCTGATTAACTTCTGTGCTCTTTTATAAAGAATTACATAAAACTATATATATAATGCTTAAGATAAGTGTCGTAGCAACTAAACATACACATCCTGTATATCTATCAATTTATTTTAACTGCATATTTTTTTCACTAGTAAAATCACACTAAGTCCCAATGTATACCTCAATGTGTTTGTATGTGATCAATGTCAATGTCAAAGGGTGACATGTGACTTATCATAGAACACCGACTCGCAGTAATGAGACACATCTATGCCTTGGGCTAAGCTTGAGGAGGGACCGTTGCCTACCAATGATGTCGGCGTACACCTCCATCTGCTGGTGTTGCTGGGCCAGCTGGAACGCCTCGTTGTTGCACTTGGACATGACCAGGAACTGGATTGCAGAACCATAATCGCTCAGACGCAGGAAGAACCTGTGACCATATATGCATGAGCTCAGTCCAACAATAACATGTGTGCATTAAGTGTCCATTCCTTTGTGCGTGCAAACTCTATTACTAAACTCTTTGAAATGATCAGATTGTGCCTGATTACAGTAACTCACTCGGAGATCACTAACATTGTTAATGTTTAAGTCTGCATCACTCTCTTGAATGTTTTTTGTATGGACTTAATTAGTATCAATATTATTTAATCTTATGATTTTTTTTAATTGCATTTGGTTACTAGATTATGAAAACTAATCAGGACCCTCATGGGACATAAGGTTTGATTAATAGTTTCATATAGATATTCCTGTCCTTGGAAATGTAAATACATCTTCATACATTTATGTGAATATTGAAACTCAAGGTTCAAAAGCACAACAGGAATCAGAACAATGATGGAGGGGGAAATGGGAGATGTTGAAATAGTGTATGAGCATTCACAGGTGCTGCATCACACCTTGCGACCATCTTGGCACCCTCGATGGACTGGGTCTCGCGCACGACACGCACGGCTTCCTCAGGGCTGTTGAGGTGCTCGAGCAGCACGCGGATCATGGCGTCGTAGTCCTTGGCATTCTCGTAGGCCAGTGCAGCCTCTTTGTACCTGCACCCCAAGACCCCGACACACAGGATCAAAATGAGTTTTTTTTTTTTTGTGTGTGTGGGAGCGAATCCTCAGCCACCCCCTTTGCTCTTCTCTATACATTCTCCCTCTTGGCAAATTTTCTACAGTTGTAATGTCAACAATCACTTTGATGCTGATGAGACCCAAGTATACATCGCCATTGCCTCCATGAACCCAACCTTACTGTCAACACTCGCATCCTGCCTTGACGCAGTGTCATCCAAAATCTTTTCTTATTCTTTCCAGCTAAATGTTGTCAAAACAGAAGTACTCCTCACCAGCAAAAAGCAAAGACTCTCGCTTAAGCATACATCTCCTGAACTGACATTACACTGGGAAAGAGTGTGAAAAATCTTAGAAATGTGTTTGACCCAGAGCTCACCTTCCCACATATAAACTCTGCGAGACATTATATCTCCATCTGCACAACATCTCCCACATCTTACATTTTTATTTATTTTCTCTGCGATTTTTTTCTTGTTATGTGCATTTTTTTCTCATTATTTATGTATTAATATATTTTTTCTAAGTAGTGGGGTTTTCTTTTTTGCATGGAACTGGATAATTGATGTGCACCATTGTGGGATGCAATTGCATGAATGAATATAAAATGGAATGATTACTATTCATTACTGCAGATGGTGCTGAGACCCTCAATTTTAAGATCACCCCCGCCACCTTAAAAATCCTAGACAAACTTACTCTTGCATATGTATTTCCTCTCATATCATTCTACTCCCCACCACAGCCTCTTCGCTCAAGAAACCAAGGCCCACTGTCAAAGCTCGTTGTCAACCATCACTCAGTACGAAGTCACTCATTCTCCTGTGTTGCCCTATGGTCTGGAACTCCCAGCCATCCATGCTGTTGACCCGCTGCCCCTGATCAAGTTCAATTCCTCCTTTTTTCCCAATGCCTATAACTGAATGCCTCTTTAATGTAAATATGCCTACCATTTCTGTAAAGCATATGAAGATGCAGTCGCATTTATAAACTACATGCTAGTCTCGTTTAACGAACGTTCTTCTACGAGATTTTGCTATAACGAGCAATTTGAATTTAGACCCGTTTTTTTTTTCCCGAAACGAGCAAAATGTTTGTTTAGAGATCGGAGACCTATTGATATCCGTCTCGTGGCAGCAGTCAGCACACGGCAGCCTGCAGCCGTTTGCCTACTAGCTGTCCGTGTGCCTGTGTGCTTCGTCGAGTGAGCTCCTCCAGTGACAAACTTTTGTTAGCATTTCCTTTGCTGCTTATCGCTCCACCCCATCAACCATGAGTTCCCAGAGGTCAGTAAGTGGGCATAGCAATGGTACTCCAAAAGCAAAGAGGAAGGCCATTACACTCGAGATGAAGGATATACAAATTGCGATTTGAAGGTGGAGAACAAGTTTGTAACATCAGAAAAGCCCTGGGCTTGACTACATTCATTATTTTTAATATACACAGGGACTGAGAACACTAAAGCCAGGGCAGAGAGTATGACGCCACTACATGCAGCAAAACTTGAGGAAATACAGTGCATTAATGGAAAATACGGAAGAGTCGTTGGGCATGTGGATTGAGCATCAGAATCAGGGCAACATGCCACTCAGCACAATCCTCTTTGAAGAAGAAAGCTGGTGACACTGTGGCGGGTGTGAAAAATGTGTTCCTAGTACTGGGTGGTTTGCCAAATTTAAGAGGTGCTACAATCACCTCAAGACGACTGATAAGACAGCGAGTGTCGATGCCAAAGCATCTGAGGCACATGAGGATACTTTAAAGGAGATTATTGAGGAAGGTGGCTCCTACCCTGATTAAGTGTTCAGCGTAGATGAGACTGAGTTATTTTGAATGCCAGCAAGCACATTCCTATCCAAAGAAGAAAAGACAGCAACTGGTTCCAAGGCGTCTAAGGACCGACTCACTCTGCTTGTGGGTGCCAACACAGCTGGCAATTGCAAGCATAAGCCACTACTTGTGGACTACTTCGAAACACCAAAGGCTTTTAAAGGCTGCATCAAATCTCATCTTCCCGTAATTTGGCACTCCAATAACAAGGTTTGGGTCACTACTGATTTCTTGATTGGTTCAAGAATCATTTCTGCCCAGCAGTTGAAAAATATTGCCGGGAGAAGAAACTGGATCACAAAGCATTACTGCTGCTGCATAATTCCCTAGTTCATCCTTCAGTGCCCTATTTTTGGAACAAATCAGGGTGAAATTCCTTCAAAAAAATACCAAATAATTTATACAGCCTAGGGATCATGTATCCGTACAATCTGTATGAATCATCTGTGATAGGCAGGAATTAAGGCCTGAATTAATATCAGTACATAAATAAATGCACAAAAGCTAAAATAAAATAAAATGCAGGAATGAAAGGTCACACCCATGTAAAACCCAGACGGAAACAATGAGCATGTCCAAATAAACAAACATGTCTAGAGGAAATCAACACAAACCAAGCTTGGAATTCAACACAACATTTGCACCTTCTGAATTTATAGAGCAAATTGTCAGCTAGAGGAGTGGTGGTTAGTGACAAGCAAGTGATAGTCCAAATTGCCTCACCTGCCATCTGCCTCCTTGGCCTTGGCATACTGTAGGTGGATTTTGGGAGAGGCGACGTGGGACAAGAGCTCGCCCACCTTGACCCTGCCACAGAAATATCATTGTCAATTCCTCGTTGACCACACACACACACACAGCGTTTAGTAAATGAGAAAAGAGTTGCAGTATTTTTGATTTTCAATAAGGGCAGTTAAATGCTGTGTACCAGTTTTTGGAGCGGATGTAGACCGATGCTGCCTTGTCATGGTATTGCCCCTTCTCATAGAGCTGAGCAGCTTCTGAGAATTGCTACAAGAAAAGCAAAAAAAATGTAACTCTTCAGATTATGTATTACTTACAGTCTATACACACATAGGACTGCTTTTTGCCAACAAGATTTTAAAAAGCAAATCTTAATTATATTCAAGAGACAGAACTCAGAGAGAGAAGGGATTTAGTTTGGCCATAACTATCACCCACAGGAGCAGATTCCTTCATGTAGTGAACAATCACCATTTGGGTCACGATTAAATTCGAGAATTGACACATTTTTTATTCATTTGTACTGTCTCATTTGCCACAATTATTCCAATTCAATGAATATATCAATCTGACACATGTATCATGTGCATAAGCATCAATTTTAATTGATAAACCATTATGTGTATATGCATACTCCTCACAATAGAATCCTGAGAAAAATAGCAGAATCCAATCATTCACCACCACGTAATCCTGCTATGATCTACTATATTAGAGAATGTTTTTGTGAGCGAGATTTCAATAATTTACCGTGTTTTTTTTAATTCTACACCACTGGCTGACATTTACCACAGCTCCCCACCTTCATGCTCTCCAGGATGGCAGCACAGTCCCTCTTGAGGATGCGACTTGAGTGTTTGAGTGCGAGCGAGACGCCGCGTCGGATGTCTCCCATGCGCAAAGCCATTCGCGCCACACCTGCCCGGCATGCCTCATCGTGCTCCGTGTACTGGCAGCAGGGACCGTCAGGGACAGCTTATTAGAATTTTCTTATTGCATCACTGGTCAATATCTAAATCGTACTCTTTGGTTTTACTCGGTAAAGTCACGTAGGTAAAAAAACGAATTTTACCGAATAAAACCAAAGAGTTATGAATTCTTGCAGTCACGAAAGCTTCAAATCTAGAATATCTAAATCACTCAACCACTCAATTTCCACGTCATCCAGTTCGATAACCTTGTCAATCAACCCTCTAGTTGCCATGAGGGGCAGTCCTCGACAATGTGGACTGCTGTTTGGTGGGGCAGCTCCGCAGTGACTAATAGGGGTTGGTGCGTATAACAAAATGGTGCATCAGCCTGCCAAATTGACTGTAGCCAGATGCCAGTCTATAAAGCCTGATCCTCATGCAATATGACTAGCTGGGCCCTATGTACAATTGCAACTGCTTTGTAGTGGAGATATAGGTGGTTTGTTCTGGGTCCAAGACCTCCTGGCACCGCTTAGTTTATTATCGTTATTGTTAACCATTCTCAACACACTATTGCATAAAGGGCATGGTTTACACACTATATTCTTCTCAGTGCTTGTGTATCAGCTTTAATGTTCATTACTTTGGCTGTCCATTACAACTATGTCCTCGTCTACTTAATGCTAATCCACCACTTTTTTCTGTAATTTAGCATTCCACGTAACTTCACAGTAAAATGTTTACATCATAAACAGGGAGAATTATATAATAAGTTAAACTTACATTGTTGTCGTTAACTATTCCTTTCTCATAATGTGCCAGTGCATTCACGTAGTCTCCGCTGCACAAAAAGGAACATAAATTGAATGTTTAGAGTTTTTCATTGTTTCAGATTGAAAGAATTAAGGCAAAGTGATGCCAAGTAATAAGTCAGTATCTGTGGACTTACGTGAACTCCAGCTGCATGGCATACTCCTTTGAAATGAAGGGGATCTGGTTTGGGGCCAGACGCTTGGCCAGCTGAAGGGCACTGTCCCAATTCTGCAGATCCCTACGCATCTGCTCATGCCCGCGCACATAGCAGAGTAATAAGAAAGAATATTCATTGCATGACATCATGTATTCAAGTGGAATAAAAGGTCCCTATGGGCTCTATACAGATTGTAGAGCTTTGCAATGCACTTGCTATTTCAACATGTTTTTTTGGTAAACTGTGAATGTATTTCATGAGACCAAAGAAGAATGCAAACTAGCATATTAAGCAGACTTACATTTTGTGCTGGCTATTGAATCCCTTACGTGCAAATCGAGAGAATGTGCAAGCTTACAGGAATTTGTGGAATATAACACATCAGATAAATTATAAGATAAGAAACCATACACATCTATGGTGAGAAATGATCAACATGTGTGTATGTATGGGAAAGCTTAATTTCCTCCACTTTACCCAGTACCTCTAACGCAGCCACCGGGTTGCTGGAGGACAGGAAAAGATCTTGTGCGAGGTTAAAATCTTCACTTAGCATGGCTAGGTGTCCCGCAAGCAAATTGTGATCCTCCACTGCCTGATCAAGGTGGTGAGAACACAACAGCACTGCTGGAGTCATTCAATACAACCATTCATTACAGGTAAAAAACATGTAATTGATTCACTGGCTTTGTAATATTGTATTACTGTCCCACTTTTAATTGCATGAAAACCACTAACCTTGATATTCTCCAGTGCTAGCACCATTCCACCATTGGACAGCATGCGGTACACACGGATGGCAAACTCCACCTCCATGTGATACAAGCTGGCACGAGCCATCTCGTTCCACGCTGCCGAATCTGACAGTTGCTCACATATCGTCCACGCATCCTTAAACCTAACCGAAAGCAAGTGCAAAAAAACAAAAGTGCACAACGTGTTGTTTCTGATTTCCAAATCTGGTAAGGACATCACTTTAAAATGTTTCTATCAAACGTATGCGCATGTTACATGTGTCTGAGAATCTTCATGTTGGAATATTAACCTGCGCAGCATGAGACTCTGGGTAAGCAATCGGGCACACTCGGGCTGAGGCCTGTCAGCCATGGGGCTCAGGAAGGCGTGCGAGCCCAGCAGGAGGTTGTTGGTCTTTCCGCTGCCAGTCTGACACGTCAGCTCTCCGTTGTAGAGCAGCAGGGGCTTCTGTGAGAAGGGCAACTTGGTGCCGCCCGCCAAGATGACTTTGGAACCTGATGGCATTAAATGAAGAACTATTGGTTAAGATTATGCCTGCTACTTTATGAGTCTCAATTACAGATAAAAGTGCATATATAAAGTGGACTATATTTTTGCAAGAAATGTATTGCGCCTTCATTGAAACTCAAGTGAACTGTGAATTTTAGTTTGTCAGTACCTGCGATGGTGTCCTTGTGGTAGGCATACGTGTATATTTTGTCATCGTCATAAGCTACAAAGACTCCTCGGTCCAAGGGAAAATTTTCCCATAGGATGCCCTTGATGGTGGGTGATAGGTTGGGGATCTCAAACAGGGAGTCATTGACCTGAATAAGACCAGCACAAATACATATTTGAAGACATCACAGAACACCTCCACCGAAGTGCATTCAAATACTCTTTTATAATATATTTTAATACATTATTTTTTTTAACCAACAAATGTGTGGTAATCGCATTGTATATGTGACAGTGAAAGACCGGACATGAAAATGTATCGGTTGCCATACTTTTATATTTTTAAAATAAGTTTTTATTTTTTAATGGCCATTAGATACAATGCCCCTACAAAATAACGTAGGCATCTGCTGTTGTGTCATCTTAAAATGATTTACTCACAGGGCTGTAGACGTAGCCATCACCTTTGTCATCAATGATGACCAACTGAGTTCCACTGGTGTCTGGAAAGAGCTTGCGGATACCAACTATGTGCTTGTACTCGTTTACAAACTGCCAGTCCTCCAGAAAAAAGTAAAATATACCACCGGCCTGTACATAACAGATAGAGGCACAAAGAAATAAAAAAAAATTCACATGTGCAAAGCACACACAAAATAACAAGTCCCAAAAAGGAGGCCCTAAAGCATAATCTACAAGTTAACCTCATAAGCAGATCTGAAAAGGAATATTCAGCAAAAATATAAGCATTGCATAACATTCTTGGCTATTTCATAGCAAATATTCCACTTCAAAGATGTGTTATTCAAGCAGGATTTTGCACGTGTATGCCCATACGTGCACAAACATTGCTGTATGTGTATGTGCAAGCCTGCGGCTCACATCTGTGGCGTAGATCAGGAAGTCGGCGGTCAGCGCGTGACATGTAATACGGCTTCGATCATCCCCGCTGGGAAACAGCCGTGTCTCACGTTCTTCCTGGCCATCAGGACCCTGTGCTTCAACCTAGCATCACCACAAACAACCTTGAAATCCGCACAGGTTCGTTACTTCGCTATTCCACAAATGCTCTGAGACCTACGCAAGCTTCATTGCCACAGCTGTATACTTCCATTCAAACTCTCAGCTGAAGCCCATGTGTATACTTTCACGCAACATACATTCACCACAAGTTTGTATGCAGTACCAAGGTTTTTGCGAGTAATTTACACGTATATAAGTATAACTGAATAAAACTCCATAGAAAGTACGATTCACTGTAGCAATATAATTATTCACCTCCACCTGCATTCTGATGAACTATCACAATTAAGAATCATAATTCAGAACATTTTTCATTTATTATCAATAATGCAATGTGCAGAATATCATGGCTGCAAGTCATATCAACCATTCACATATAACCTATCTTGGCCTCCCCAAGTTGCCACCTTTCCTCAAAGTATTGGAATGCAACAATCCATCGACCTCCTATACATGAGATGATCTCGTCTTTCCATCTCTGCAGTAGTCTTCCTCTGTTCTCGCCTTAGGCTGCCAACCTAAACCACTGACCACAAGCTTTTAAAGCTATTTGTTCTCTGCAAGCCCACTTATTTTTATGAACTCAATAATTCCTATCATTTGCATGTGTTCTCTAATCCACGTGTTGCTCTCTCGGTCTCTCAGTGTACATGTGGATAGGATGCATAGACATTGACAAAGGCATTTAAAATATACAAATGATACTAAATTGATTCGTAGACACGTAATTTTGTACCTGAATCATGAGCATACGAATCTATTTTTATTAATGATAGTACTGTATGGAACTGGTAAAATATTTTTTGCTATCAGAGTAAACGACAGGCAATACCAAGTTTTGTGGGAATTAAAACACCCCTTAGGATGCAGTCCAATTTACATTGCTAGTTGTGCTAATGAGAGTCAGTTAAATCCACAGCTGACACTGCAGTGTCAGTCCTGCAGTGCACTCACCATGTGCAGTTGGACCTTTCCCTCAAACAGGGCGGCAGCGTAGTCAGCGTTTAGACGCATGCTGCTGACTGTGCCTAGGTACTCACGGTCCTTGAGCCGCTCCACTGCACCTAGGCACAGATACCACACATACAGTGTCAATTAACCATCGTCTGAATGTGGGTTGTAGCTGCCGGTGGTATCTGGCCCATGGCACTGTGACCACACTGCATATTAGATCAAATGTGAAAAAAAAAATTTTAAAAATACTCTTGAGTCGATCTCCTATATGGAGCTACATTAGACCATTTACAATGCAGAAAAGACTTGACTTAAAGTACAATTACAATAATAATGTCCACTATTTAATAAGGGACCCAGACCAAAATATTGCCAAAAATCTATAACATTGTAAATTAATTGCAAGATATTGCTATATATACAGCCCTTTTTGTCAATCCACTGTTGGATGAGCACCTCCCCACACCATGTGGGTGGTGTTCACTCATCCAAGCACTATCTAGGCTCGAGCCACCTTAGCTACTGAAATGTGATAGAGGTCGGGTGCATTTTGGGTGATGACTGTAAACCTAATAAGTAAAAAAAAATGTTTACTCATATTATGTGTGTGGCATTGATTCTGACGGAGCACTATCAGAGGCTAGAAGAATGTGAGCGCACCAGACTCGCTGAGCGCATACACCCATGCGCGGTTGTTCATGCCCACGGCCAGGTGGTAGGGCCCCACCGCAATAAAGTTGGGCTCCACGTCAATGGCAACGGTCACGGGCGGCTCCTGGTTATAGAGAATAAAGGACATAAACAAACCCCTTTATTGGGAAGACTCGGGGAAACAAATATTTCCTGAAACTATTCAAGGCAAATGGAATTTCACTGTACAACAATGACATTTCATTGTACAAAAATTACATGTGTCTATCAAGATTATTTCTAACCTCACCAAGATTGCCCTAAGTTATTCTCTATCAACTGTTGGAAAAAAGGCTACCTGATAATGATGCTATTTCTATCAGTGCAGGACAGCTGACAACCATTTCAATCTCAAGTGTGCTCCATACTGCAGTCTCATTGGTTAAACATTACTCAACCCCAAAGTCATGTTTAGCAGGACTGAAATGTAACCTGATTATAAATTACTACTGCACAAAAGGAAACTATCTACTATTTTACCTTTACCTTATAGCACCAGGCTAAGCATTGCTAGGAGTGAGAAATTCTACATTAATGAGATCTGCTAGTCTGGCTGCGACCAACAAAGGTTGACCTTGAGGTCATACAATTGCTTGCAACTACATATAAATACACCCAAGTGTGAGGCCACTGGTGTGGTCGTTTGGCATTGGCTCCTCACCCCTTCCACTGAGTTGGCAATGGTGACCTCCAGCAGGGAGGTGAGGTAAGCAATTCGCGTCGAAAATGTGTCCCCCAGCACAGGCAGCTTGGTAAGGAACACGTGCAACGAGCCACGCAGGGTGGAGATGGCCAGTAGCTGCCCATCGTCTGTCCATGCCAGCTTGTCCAGACCTTTTACATGCGCACACACATTGATGTAGAGATTTGATTAATGACAAAGTCCAGAAGTAGCCAATGAAGTGAATTTTCTGATTTTGGTGCTCCATGTATTCCTGCTGAAGACTTCACTCAGATTGATGAAAAATAAGCATCCAAAATAAAAGCATTGGTTTAATTAACTTTGGACAATACGTACATCTGAATTTAGAAATTTCAATACAGGTCCATTGCACATAAAGAAATATCTAGAAGCAAGAAACACATTATTTGTTACATAGTCTTTTTAAACATCAATATTTTCTATTTGTAATATTCTAAATAATGCAAGTTTGGCTTACATAGCATCAGGACTTAGTTAACATCAAGGGATTGTATGGTTTATTACTATACAAGCTGTGTTGCAGTGTTGCGTTTTATAAATGTTTAGAATGTTATACCTTTGATTTCATCATCGAGGGTAATAATGGCATACATCTCTTTGAGCTCTGAAAGGTCATGAATCTTGATGCTGATAACAATAAAAACAAAATCGCAAATGAATCATGAAACAGTCTTTTATATGTACACATATGTAAGTAGCACATTGCCAACAATATACCTTGTGTCTGGGGTTATTCACTTAATTAAACTAACTACATCAGCAACAGCAGTTTAATGCAATGATGCTGTTACTACAAAATAACATACTGTACTGTTTCCTTTCCACTTTTTGGTGGACACACTCACCAGTTGTCTCCGCAGGAGGCTGCCTTGCCTAGTGATTGCGAGATAGCAATGCTGGTGAGGCTGTCCTTGTGGTTGTGAGCCTGAAAGAGCTCCTGGCCAATCTCACGCATGTGCGTGGAGATCACCACAAAGTAACCTTGCGAGAAGCCAATCATGATGTAGCCATCGCCATACCTGAGGTGGGAATGAAAGTACTTTATGAGCATGTTACTTTGTCAGTGTGATTTAAAAGGACGTTTTCCCAAAAGTTGTATGTGAGGTACCAAAACAATAAAATATTTTAAAATTACTTCATACAATAAAATATTTTATAAACTTTTAAAAAAAATTATAGTTTCAAATATGGGGTGAAACAAAGCAAAATGAGCTTTCCTTATCTCTCAAGATACATACTGAAATGTTTGCTTTGGAGAACAGCATTTCTGCATGTATACACTACAGTATTAATTTCACTGTAGTGTAGTGCTGTGATCTACTGATTTTAAAGAAACCCTTACCAGCGGTAAGAGACGATGCTTCCATATCGCGGCTGGAAGGCGAGTTCAATTGGGTTGTCTGGATCGTTCATATTAAAAAGAAACAGGGTCTTCTTTCCTACCATAACACTCACCTGTTCAGTGGGAAAATCAACCAAAAAGCAAGTCAGTTAAATAATGGCGCTATCATGAAACTAATTATGCTCATGTCCATGTGAAGCACATGCTGATACATTGTTGGTTAATGCTGTATTACTCTATCCCCAAGCTGCATTGTGATTACAGCTGTATCACTCTATCCTAAGTGCATAAGGCAAGCAGCCTACTATGCGCGGTCTTGCGCTGAACACTAATAAGGTTTGGATCCTGTGACTACATGCATTAAACAACTTAAGTGGTACGTTTTCCCCGTTAAGTGCATGACTTTAAATGACAACATAAGGAATACCATCAATATATTTTATGAAACTGGCCACTACAATGCAGGTTAAAACATTTGAAATGCGATCTATGCCTGACCGTATTCTCTCCATAGTTGTTTCGTTCGTCAGTTTTCATCACAGAAAAAAGCATCTCGCTTGGGTCTGCTCTGATGCTGGCCTGCAAAACAAAGCCCACAATACAAACGCTCAGTCAATATTAGTAATACAAATTAAACCATGAACAATGCTGGTTGTTACTATTCTTTAACAAAAACAAGTTTATTTGTTAGATAACTCGTTTTAAGCAAATAATACCATCATCTCAAATTACAAAGTATTGACCGACACTTTTGCTATCATGTCCACAATCATATTCTTGGCTACATTTAAGGACAATATCACTAGGTTATTACAAAGTGTATTTCTCATTAAGTCCAGTAATGATCTAAACTAACAATCTAAACCTATACACAGACAAAACATTTGATTATTATGTGGAGCAAGGAAAGCCAATGAATTTTGAAATAACAGGTGTCTTACCTGTCGTATAGTGTCACCCTCAGGGTTGCTGACAGTAATCGATTTGTCTTCACTGCCAAGCGCCAGAAGGTCTTGGGCGCTCCAGCAACCGCATGTTATGCGTTTTGTATGCTTACCTGAGAAATGCACATAAAGCATGTGACAATGCAAACATATTTTGGTTCATCCCAATGTGTATACCTTCACTGTGAATGAAGTACTGTGCAATCTACGATACATTTTTAATGCAGCAATAATTTAGAAACGACTAAGATAAACAGCAATCAGTGATAATTACATGTTCTACATGTGATAACAAGTTCTGCATTTCTGTACTGCGATAATGAAGGTAAGTTTGCTCGCTATTCATAATGTTACACTTCAATGCACAAGCAGCGGTCACGTACCAAGTATGGGTATCTTGCGTGAAGTTTGATGGTTGTAAAGGAGCAAGTTTCCCTTGGCTGTGCCAACAGCCAGCATGGCCGAGGAGCGTCCCCAACGCAAGAATGTCATCTGGTCCCTGCAGTAGAGAGCAGATGCTTAACTGGAATCCAAATTGATGAAAATCACTCGTGTGATGTTGAATTACAAAAGAAGACCTACGTATCAATAACGTTAATACTTAAGTTACAAAGTATCCATATATATTTCAAAATGTGGGGTCAACATGTAGTGACGCTCTTGTGTCTAAGCAATGCTGGATTATGAAGCTATCTCACCTCATACCACTATCCACCTGGCTGGTTTTGTGCGTATTGGCATCCCAGAGGTAAATGCTGCTCGACTTCTCCGCAATCAAGGCAAGGGTGTCGCCATCTTTATCCCAGTCAAACCCCAAGCACTTTCTGTGAAAGCATTAACAAGCCACAGTAAATAATGACATCAGTACGTGACACATGAACACAACTTTAACAGACTTTATTTTTCAAGCCCTTCTTACCCGGGAAGGTTGATCAAATCGATCTTCTGGCCATGCCGGTCATAAATCTTGGCAGAACTTTCTGACCTAAGAGGAAAATCGTGCATTTGATCAACACGTCATGTAGATATCTTAAACCTTATTTTCTTATTACCCTAATCTATGACAAATACAGGAGCAAAACCTAACTCTGTCAATGATTTGTAATTAAATATATTAAATGTGGTTTTGAATAAGAATAGAAATTTAGAGTACGACTGACTTTACAATGATTAAGTGTTCGAAAACTGACCCATATTAACCCCAAAAATATATACTTTGACATGTCTTTACAGTATAAACAACTATTAAACATGTTTACAGTATGGCAACTATAATCCTTTCAAATATACAGGCGACACGGTGCCACACAGAATAGCAAACAAATGTAAAAATACAGGCACACTCATAAAACACAGGGTTAGCACTTTGTTACAAAGGTGACTGTGTAAATGTGTGAATAAGGTAGCTTTGTTGTTTGTGTTTTATTTCATTCAGGTGGGATTATTCCCAGCCCAAGTGCTGTAGGTACCCAGACAGGGCCAGATAATTTCCAAGCGTCTTCTGCCAGCCATACAGCAATGGACCTCCAGTGTTATTCCTCTCCGTGAGAGAGAACACACGCTGAAACGAAATAAAGAAGACACACAATTTTCACACAACTGAGAATGACACGTTTCAGCTGGTGGGTATTCATTAAGAATGTTGAATCGTTTACTTTTATTGTCATCGATTCATTAAACATGTGTAAACAACATTTGGCAATCATATATAAAGCGCCTGACACAAAATCACTTGTGTCAGGCGCTGCATTTATGCAGTTTGGTCCATAGGGGTACCAAGGACATTTATACCCAGTTAAACATGAGCTGAAATGTTCAATAACTCTGTAAAAGATTCACATCTTCTTCCACACTGAATGACATATGCTTACCAACATAGCCAGCAGGCACCGTGACATTATCCCTATACACCTCAATATCCCCACAGCTGCGCACCCAATTTTATATCTCAGAAGCTACGCAGATTGAGTCTGATTGGTGCTTGCCTGGGCTGCAAGGTGACCAGAAGGTATCAAATCAAGATTGACCAGAAGGTGGCAGTACAGCTTTGGATCCGTGAATCTATCTGTGCGAAGCTTTGACTGGTCACCACACTTGTGTGTTTTCCGAATACCTTCCACATGACTCCAACCCCTCAATACAGGAATGCAACTGGTAAAAAATCCCCATGTAGTATCCTCCTGCTCAAAGGGTCATACGACTCAGTGAGACTAAGCTCCACGATTCTTATATTGTAAAACACATTATACTGTGATAATAGGTTTTTCCCCTTTTATCTGGCAACAAAACAGGTGTTAAGTTGTCTGCATTAACCACAATACTTGTGGTCAGAATGCAGACATGATTCCTTGTAAAAGGTTTCAGTTTGGTGTTTGAACTTCTTAGCACCTCTTTTGTTGCCAGAAAAAAGGGGAAAACCTATTCTCATATGTTGGTACTGGCAAAGGAGTCCCATGATGTAGATGCTCACCCCGAGCTCTCATTACTCTGATAGTGGCATTGTCTTTTTGCTGTTCGCCTTTTGGCGTCCTCTGGTCTCACACCGTTTGAGACTAGGCTCGAAAGAAAACTGTCTCTGGTGTGGACCAATCAGTTTCAAAGACAATGATATATTATCAGAGTATGTTTTTTTTTTTACATTTTGATCACAAGTATTGTGGTTAATGCAGGCATGATTCCTTGTAAAAGGTTTCAGTTTGGTGTTTTAACAACTTAACACCTGTTTTGTTGCCAGATAAAAGGGGAAAACCCTATTATCATATTTTGGTACTGGCAAAGGAGGTCCCACATTACACTGTATTAATATTTATACCGTACTTTCGTACCTACAGAACCACCTATATTGTAGTATTTTCAGTGTGTATAAATATATTATAAATACAATTATATACATGCCATAGTAACTACCATTGTACAATATTGTAAATAGATGCCGTGTAGTACACTCGGGGCCGTGGTACTGTAATGCCCACTATTGCTGTGAATAAAACAACGTTAAAGTACAAAACTTAGGGCACCGCATCACAATGGAATGCCTTGTACAGTAAAGCTCACGTGAAACTTGACCCCGTGCCTTATTTAAAAAAAAATGACGCGAACACTCCGACAAACACATCAAGTAATAACGGGTTGAGCGGCGTTAAGTTGTACTTTAGTTCACCATTTATTAAAAGTCTTAAGCGGCAACTCGTCCCTGCGACGAGAGGCTCCAAGCCGCCTCGACACCGGGGCCCTTGACCGCGGGCGCAGACGTCCTCCGAAACCAGCCAGCCCCGAGTTAACGTCGCGACACTCTGTCGACGTGAGCAATGCGTTCACCTTCATCGCGACGGCGTGTTTGAGAGCCTGAGAGCCGTCTTGTGCACGGACTCCTCTCTGGTTTGTTGTTGTTGTTTTTGTTGTTGTGTTCAGCCGAGGTTCTTCACTCAGCGAGCCGCTATCCGAGCCCTGGGGAGGGGGCGACTCGGCCGCGTCACCGTGGCAACGCGTGGCGCGCCCGCTACGGGTCGCGCGAAGCAGCACGTTTGCTTTGAACGCGTTTCGTAACTAAAATCGGGCGGTGGCTTGTAACTTGTTTTTATTATATTATTATTTTACACGCTTTCTATTAACTCTGCTGTCATATCCTCAAATCTTGTAACAAAATTTTAACCCACTTCCCAATGTGGTATCGACTGCAAACTTGGTATACTTATGTCATACTGATGACCATACTATATTTTATCATAAAAATAAAAATAAATATTTCTAAATAATCTTTTTATCTTCTTGGTTCTTTCGGTAAAGTCACGTAGAAGGAAAATAATAAAATAATAAAAATAAAACATAATAAAATTTAATTCTCACGACGTTTCGGCCACAACGCAAGTAGCCTTCCTCAGGTGAAGAAACAGAACTGTCAGAGACAGTGCTTCAATTAACACTGCTAAGCTTAGCAGCGTCTTTTAAGCTGGGTGGGAGGAGCAGAGCGCCTTGACAAAGGAGTTTACATATCAACAGAAGAATTTAGCATTGAAGTAGCTGTGTTAAAGTGAGATATTAGCAGGATGTTAAAGTCAGAAATTAGCATGTAACTGGGAGATTAGCATGATGTTAGTTTGAGGGATTAGCATGTAACTGGTCACGGAAGTAGCTATGTTAAAGTCAGAGTTTACATATTAACAGAGGCATTTAGTATATTGACGCTAAAGAATTGCAACTACCCAACTATCATACAATAAACCGATGTGAAATAACTAAATATAAACGACATCAATTGGGTCGAGGCTCAAAAGAAAGCCGTCCCTTGGTGTGGACCAATCAGATCAAGGACAATGCATCATATATTATCATAGTATGTTTTTTACTTGCATTTTGACTGCAGGTATTGTGGTTAATGCAGACATGAATCCTTGTAAAAAGGTTTCAGTTTTGTTGCCAGAAAAAAGGGGAAAACCCCTATTATTACATTTTGGTACTGGCAAAGGAGGTCTAATGATGATGATGGAGATACATCAATATAATCAATGTACTGAATATACTATCCAATAAGCTGAGCTATTAACATAAAGTAACTGTGTATACACTACACTATATAATTAATACCATATAGTAAACTGATTAAAACAACTAAAATATAAATTACATAAAAATTATCAATAAACTCAATATACTCTCCAATCAGCTGAGCTACTAACAATCAGTCATTATACATTACAATTCTATGTCGAAAAGAGTGGCGGTTTCTTTTTTCCTCAACGTTAGTACCACAGAAAGCAGCGAGCTTTGTTCAGACGGACGAGTCCATCTATGCTCGGAACGGAGAAGGGGGGAGAGAGAGAGAGACAACCATGGTGCGCTACTCTGTCCTGTGTTGCGTTACAACTATGCTATAAACTAGACTACTATACATTACAATATTATACCTTCCAATCTAAACTACATTGTATAATATCGTATACACAGCCCAATATAAGCTCTAACATTACGCATTATATTGATATGCCTCCAACTAAACTTTTTTCTACATTACACGACTATACACCGTAATAACTGCCATAGACAAACCCCACCATTGAATTATACAATACGTTACTATACTCTACCCTATACTTTAGACTATAAAAATATTAGACTTGTAATATTACACTATGTATTATTCTACCAACCCTACTGTATACCACACTGCTGTATATTCACTATACAATTACGATACTATATATTGCCTTATGAATTATGTTAAACATTATACTGTTATACTATTTATTATTATACAATATGCTAAAAACCATACCATTGACTGTCGTGTGAAAGGTACTAAGAGGTAATGCCAGCGAATGGACTGCAGTCTGAAAGTCACCATAAAATACAATCAATCAAGAACCGAAATGGTTTATCACGTCTTTCCAATGATTACTAAGCCAGAATCCATCTTCTCGGTTGAAATTGTCTCTGTGTTTGTATATGTGGATGGCCTCATGAACAAATCTCTCATGGCAGCAGGATGGCTTGCAGAGAACCTCCGTCTTGGAGAAGTCAATGTCATGTGAGCCCACTGAATTATAACAGTGATCTGCCATGGCTCAGGTGTTCGTCCTACCTTGTTTCAAGTCTGCTTTATGTTCACAGATGCGGTCCGAGATATGTCGTTTGGTTTCTCTAATGTAACTGCTACCACAGAGGCAACTTAGTTTGTAGACGCCCGGATACTGTATGTCTGGAACCACATCTTTTACAGACGGGACCAGATCACGGATTTTATGTACTGTGTTGAATCGGACCTGGATATTGTTTATTCAGGATTTTGGAGATCTTTTTTGTGACCCCGCAATGTAGGGTAAGGTGATGGTTTTGAATGGCTCCTCAAGAGGATCCTTCTTCATGGTTGGAGTGATGGCTTTGCGGATTGTGTAGTCGGAGTAACCATTAGCCTTGAGAGCTTGGTGTGCGTGCTTGAGTTCACTGGCAATGTGTTCCTGGTCGGAGATGCATTGGGCTCTATGGTATAGAGTCTTGATGAGGGAATTCTTCTGGAATGGATGGTGGTGGGAATCCGGTTTTAAGTAAGCATCCATATGGGTAGCTTTCCTGTAGACAGAGTGGCTCATTGAACCCTCAGGTCTCCTTTTAATAAGGACATTCAAAAAGGTAGCTTTCCATCTTTTTCGACTTCCATGGTAAATCTGCTGGAATTGATGTGATCGAGGAATTGGTCTAGAGCAGGCCAGCCATGTGGCCAGATGACAAAAGTGTCATCCACGTACCTCTTCCATAAGGTCAGGTGAAGTATGTGTTGGTTGAGCAGTGTCTCACCAGGGGGGGTACATCAGTATGCAGTCCTTGATGAACCAAGTCTTCAATGATTGCGATGGTGTCAGGTACAGGAACTTTGGTGAATAATGAAACCACATCAAAACTGACAAGCAGGTCGTCTATGGACAGGGAAATACCCTTAATTGTCGATACCAGGTGAGTAGAGTTTAGTACCGCAGAGGTGGTTTTTCCAGTAAAAGGCCGCAGGATTTCAGACAAAAAACGAGCCAGTTTGTAGGTGAGGGAGTTGATAGTAGAGACGATGGGACGAAGGGGTCTATCTACTTTATGTATTTTTGGTAAGCCATATAATCTTGGTGGCCTGGCAGCAGAAGGTTTCAACGAGAACTGTTTGGTTTGATCAATTAATGCGGTTGAATCAGAAGTGATTTTGTTAGTTTTTGTGACGAGGCTGTTGGTGGGGTTTCTTCTTATTTTCGTATAGCTGCCATCGTTGAGTAGTCCCTGAATTTTGTTGTTATATTCTATTTTGTCCATGATGACAGTGGCATTGCCCTTGTCGGCTAAGAGGATGACAATGTCATCCCTCTTTTTTAATTGAGATCATTCAAAACGCTCATCTTTGCTGATGTTGGTAGCTGGCATCTTAGCGTTTTTGAGGGATGCAGCGATTTCAGATCTTGCTACGTCTGCAGCGATGTGACCCAGGCCTTGAGAGCCACGTCGACATGGGCAATGGTATCATTAACTGGTATGTGTCTAGGTGTGACTGCAAAATTCAGCCCTTTAGCTAAAACGGATTTCAAACCATCAGAAATAGAACTGTTACTGCGATTAATTACGACTTTGTTAACGTCAAGCTTTTCTGTGTGTGGGTCCGATTTCTTATTGGAGAGGTGGTTGAATTTGGAAATCAAGTTGTTCTTACATTTGGTCAACATAGTGGCAGCTGAAGAGGCAGTCATATTGTCTACATGTTCCCAATCCGATGTGGATATTGTTGCCGTCAATGATGTGTGATTTGTAGAGTGTCATGTTGAACTGATCTAGTTCGGTGCGCGTAAATCTGAATTTTTCTGAGATAAGAGCTAAGCTAGTTCTAGATAGAATTCGTTTTGCATTAGAAGAAGTTACAGCAGCAGAGGTTATTGTAAATGTGGTTGGTATTACCTTAGAGTCGTGGAATCTCTTTAGAAAGGTGAGGAAAAAAGAAACCGCCACTTTTTTCGACGTAGAATTGTAATGTATAATGACATTGTTAGTAGCTCAGCTGATTGGAGAGTATATTCAGTTTATTGATAATATTGATGTAGTTTATATTTTAGTTTTATTTATCAGTTTACTATATGGTATTCATTATAGTGTAGTGTATACCCAGTTACTTTATGTTAATAGCTCAGCTTATTGGAGAATATATTGAGTACATTGATTATATTGATGTAGTTTATATTTAGTTCTTTCACATCGGTTTATTGTATCATAGTTGGGTAGTTGCAGTTCTTCAGTGTCAATATACTAAATGCCTCTGTTGATATGTAAACTGACTTTAACATAGCTACTTCCGTGACCAGTTACATGCTAATTCCTCACACTAACATCATGCTAATCTCCCAGTTACATGCTAATTTCTGACTTTAACATCCTGCTAATCTCTCACATTAACACAGCTACTTCAATGCTAAATTCTTCTGTTGATATGTAAACTCCTTTGTCAAGGCGCTCTGCTCCTCCCACCCAGCTTAAAAGACGCTGCCAAGCTTAGCAGTGTTCATTGGAGCGCTGTCTTTCCGACAGTTCTGTTTCTTCACCTGAGGAAGGCTACTTGTGTTGTGGCCGAAACGTCGTGAGAATTATATTTAGTTTTATTGTTTTATTTTATTATTTCCCTTCTACGTGACTTTACCGAAAGAACCAAGAAGATGAAACCCTGGAGTCATGAAAGCTTTAAATTGAAATTTAAATCTTTTTTTTATGTTATGTTTCGGCTTGGGTCTAATTGTCCATGCTCAACTGACGTTGGCTGTAAATCACCACGCCCCTTACGTTACAGCAAGCTTCGGGGCCACTTCCTAGAGTCGTGGAGTTCCTCCATTACTAATACGGTACATTTCATTAAAGTGTGTTTAAAAAAAAAGTTTTTTTAAAATATTACGAATTTTGTTTAAAATCAAATTTCAGTGCCTGGCGGGATATGCAGTTGCTTGTTGTTTGTTGAACTGAAAATAACACACCAAGTCCTGAATAATCGAGGTTTTTTATTGGGGGGGGGGGTAGATCGCGTGAAATAAATGTGTCATTAAACCCGCCACCACCCGACAGAGCCAATCAGAAAGGTTAGTCACGTCAACAAAACATGCCAATTCGTTGCTTGTTCAGCACTCCGCTGTGTTGGAGAGTAAACCCACGACTTGGTGTGGGTAACACGAAAGCCCTATACGTGTGACTCACACCAAGTCCCACGTATTGTGGTGGACCGGCAACTGCAGCCGGTGGTTCAGGTCTCATGTTCGTGGATTGCTCCTCACAAATTAAAGAAAGCACAAAATAATGTATCACGACGTTTCGATTGCAACACAAGCGGTCGTCCTCAGGTGGAAAACTTAGAATCCAGCAGTGGGGAATTGCTGAACCAGCAAAACATGACAATTGCTGGATTAAAATTTTTCCTCCTGAGGACAACCGCTTGTGTTGCGAGCGAAACGTCGTGATATATTATTTTGTATTCTTTGTTCTTTCGGTAAAGTCACGTAGAAGGGAAACAATAAAATAATGAAAATATAAAATAAAATGATCACGTTTCGACTGCAACACAAGCAATCATCATCAGGTGAGAAAACCACAGCTAGAAAACTTGATTCCCTTCTACGTGACTTTACCGAAAGAACTAAGAATATGAATCCCTGCAGTCATGAAAGCTTTAAATAAAAAAATATTTTGTGTTTTATTTTATTTTTCTACCTACGTGACTTTACCGAAATAACCAAAAGAGTATGGATTCCTGCAGTCACGAAAGCTTCAAATCAAGATTGCTCCTCACATGTTTGCACTTTTTCGATTCACGTGTGTTCATGTCACTGTCAAGAGCTTACTTGCAAATGTACCTAACATCTTTCTGGCGCCTCTTGCTCTCGTTATACACTTATATTTTGCATTGTGTGTGTTTTTATAAGCGCGTGTTCTCTGCAATATTGATGTATGTTGCAGGCAGCAACCACGGATCTCCCACCTGTAAAAAAATCACTTGATACAGCAATTTTGCTGTGACGGTTTCCACCTGAAGACAGAAGCTTGTGTTGCCTCCGAAACGTCGTGATTTAATTTAGTTTTCATTTATTTTGCATACGTGACTTTACCGAAAAAAAACGAGTATGAATCCTTGCAGTCACGAAAGCTTCAAATCTATATTTCTCCAGTATTCTTGGTCACCGCAGGTGGCAACATTTTTTATGGGGGAGATGTTCCTTAAAACTGGTAGCCACGGCAGTGGGGTTCTCATTCCACCAAAGATGGTTCTCATGATGACATTCAGCCGAGTGTGCACAGTGCCATGGGACTAAGTTACTTGTACAGTCAGTAAAAGTGAATTATGCAAGACACTTATGGAACGTAAGTTATCACTTGATTCACTTTAAGAAGGCTTTAAATAAATCTACCATCGTTTTCATCTCAGATAATATCGATTTAGGCTGTTGCTGATTAGCTTCTGTATGTGGGCACCAGTGACAATGCATTTTTTTAACCCACATAACATGGGAATAATGTGGCAAAGTGCCTACAACCCACGGTATTGTAATACCGTCATCAATATTTGCCATATCTGGTATAACCTGAGACCACTCTATGTTCTAAAAGCAACAACACTTTACACTTCTTTAACCTTAATATTTTATTTGAGTTCGACATAATAGTAGACAATGAGTAAAAACAAATCAACGTGATTATAGTACACACAAATAAGCATGGGAAGGTCCACATCTCCTGTATATAGTCCTGAGTCTGGTGGAAATTATACATCTATATAGTGTGGGTGAGATACTTCATGACACAAACACTGCTGTGTGTTTCCACATAAGCATCATTTTATCGACCCTGGATGGGAGAAAAAGGTCTGAATCAACCCCAGGGCTGGAGTTTCAACGGACAGCCTCATTGCACGTAGCTGTAATGATAGTGGCGAGTCGTACTGTGAATATGAAAGTAGAAGGGTAGATGAATTGCAGAGCGAAACCTTACACAATACAGATATAATGGATGCAACTAGCTACGGATTGGAGAGCATGCCATAATAGACTTTGTCTTCTATTTTGGTTTACTAATGACCAAAGCTTAGAAGATGCTCATATGGTTAAGCCTGTTGCAGTTCACCTTCCAAAAAGAAAACCTGTCAAAAAGTAAAATTCATTACAATGGAGGTTAAGTCATAAAAAGTACGGGCAATCAAATCAGGTTTACATTTAAAAATGTGTTACCTGTAAATCATTGTTAGTGTATACATTACCTCAGTGGCACTGCATTTATTAAAATATATACATAAAGTGGTTAATTTGTAAATTAGCCCTTCAACTCAAGTTTAGGTTCCGTCCATTGCAAAAAAAATGCAATACTAACGTAAATACTACGTAGTATTGACACATTTTCTTGACATTTAAAACAGGCGAGTATCAAATTTTATGGTATCTCATTGGCTAAAAACTCCGAGACTAAAACACAAAAGCATGCAAAAAATATATTTAAACCAACAAATATATTACATGTCAATAAAAAAAAGCTTATTCGTAAAAGACTAGGCATTAATTTTCTTTGGGTCTTTCAGTAAAGTCACGTAGATAGGTTGAAAGAGGATAACAAAAAACTACGTTTTCATCGCAACTTAAGCGGTCGTCATCAGGAAAAGGGAGTTAGCTTCAAGGCAAAATGTTTATAAAGGTATAAAATAGGCATAGCCCAAATGTCAGCAGCATGGGCGGGGCAGCTGTTAATGTAGGTAATGGGCAGCGACCGCGAAGATGGTGAGTTTCCACCAATTAAAGGGCTGCCAGGTAAAAATTAGCATGTTAATGTAAGATCGGTGAGCGGCCTCCACGGGGAGCGTGCGGAGGTGGCTATGTTAATGTGAGAGATTAGCATGTTAATGTAAGATCGGTGAGCGGCCTCCACGGCGAGCGTGCGGAGGTGGCTATGTTAATGTGAGAGATTAGCATGTTAATGTAAGATCGGTGAGCGGCCTCCACGGCGAGCGCGCTGAGGTGGCTATGTTAATGTGAGAGATTAGCGTGTTAATGTGAGATTAGCATGTTAATGGGAGATCGCAGAGCTGCCGCCATGTCGAGGTCGACGCGCGAAGGTGGCTGTGTTGGCGTGAGAAATTTAACCTGTTAATGTAAAATCGGAGAGCCGAAAATAACAGTTATGACTTATAAACTGGTTGATAGCGTCCTTCCAATGATTGCTATGTTTGTAACCATCTTCTCGGTTGAAATTGTGTCTGTGTCTGTATATATGGATGGCTTCATGAACGAATCTTTGTTGATAGCCAGTGGGTTTGCAAAGTACCTTCATCTTAGAGAAATCAATTTCGTGAGCCCACCGCATTAAAACAATGATCAGCCATTGTTGAGGTATTGGTCCTACCGTGTTTCAAATTTGCCTTATGTTCACGAACATGGTCCGAAACATGTCGCTTAGTTTCCCCAGTGTAACTACTGTCGCAGACACAGCTTAGTTTGTAGATGCCGGGGTATTGTATGTCAGGGATCACATCCTTCACAGATGGGATCAGATTACGAATTTTATGTACTGTGTTAAATCGAACCTGGATCTTGTTTGCTCATGATTGTGTGAATCTTTTTGGTGACCCCTGCTATGTATGGCAAGGTAATGGTTTTTATTGGGTCTTCAGATGGTTCTTTCCCAATGGTTGGGGTGATAGCTTTATGGTGCAGTCTGAATATCCATTCATCTTGAGAGCGTGGTGTACGTGTTCTAGTTCACTTGCAAGGTAATGATGGTCGGAAATTCATCGGGCTCTATAGTGTAGAGTTTTGATGAGGGAATTATTCTGGGATGGATGGTGGTGGGAGTCAGGTTTTAGGTAGGCATCCGTATGGGCGGCTTTCCTGTACAGTGTCCCATTGAGCCATCTGGTCTCTTTTCGATTAAAACATCCAAGAATGGTAGCTTGCCATTCTTGGCATTTAGGTGCACATTTCTAGATATGCATTTGACATAACCAAACTGCTAGAAAGCCAAAGAATAAACACAATACGTTCATAATTTCATATTTCGATTTAAAGCTTTCGTGACTGCAATGATTCATCTTCTTTGGTTCTTTCGGTAAAGTCACGTAGAATGAGAATAAAATAATAAATTGATAAAATAAAATAACACAATAATATTCTGTGAGAATATTATTGTGTTATTTTATTTTATATTCTGTGAGAATATTATTGTGTTATTTTATTTTATCAATTTATTATTTTATTCTCATTCTACGTGACTTTACCGAAAGAACCAAAGAAGACATCATTTCATAGTTCGTGCCATCAAGAAGTCTAAAATTATTTGCGTAAACAGTACAGTAAACAGTACAGTACTGTTTATGCCAGTAATTTTATGATCAAGGCCTGTGGCAAAATGAAGGGCACCTTTTTATGGCATTGCTGCCAAAATGCCTCAACTTAATCAGATTTAAAAAATCAAGAATGATCATACACGATCAAAATCAAAACAAATGCTTATAGCATATTGTTGCTTGTTGGACACGTATAAAGTGCCATTAGTACAGCTGCACGCAAAGCAAATAAGTTCATGATTTGCAGTAGATATTTAACTTCGCATCACAGAAAAACTAACAAATAACATTGGTGTCTTGGAGCAACACACCTTTGAGTGACTACAGGACTTTGAACTTATTTTACAGATATAGCGCAGATATAGCGTGTTAAAGCTGACCAGGGTTACACACAAAGGTCTTTGGACAGCATTTGAACATCTTGTGGTATTTATAGTAATATCATTTTAGTGATATGATCAATAACCAATCTTCCTAGATGCCATATAAGCAAAAGGTTTGTAAACTGTGGCATATATTTAAATGGAAGCTGCATTAGTGCAAATTAGCACGTTATTAACCTCTTAATGGATACATAAGATACATCATTAGGGTGTTGTCTAATTTTAAATGGCATTGCGGATATTGTAGCACTATTAATGGTAGTGGCTGACAAGCACGAGTGTTCTCAATAGCTTGACTTGATAAACCTTACTAGCTGAATGTTTCGAATGTTTAAAAATTGTAGAAACTGTGTATTTTATTTTTTGTTGCTTACTCGAACTGGCTTGATGTCGTATGCAAAGAGTCCACACAAAGAGTAAGCTACGAAGAATTCTACTTCCTCAATGTACGATCGACAGCGGGTATAAGAAAGATTGGAAGGAGTCACTGGAATGTTAAGGTCTTCATAGGCCGTGCTAATGAAAATCTTGTCTTCTGACCGGACAAATCCACGTACGCGTTTTAGCTTTTCACAGACTTCTGAATTAGTCCACACTTCCTGGAACCACCATTTGCGTTGCTCATGCCATTGCTTCAGCTCACAAAATTGGTGCAACTGTGTGCGGTGGACAATGCTCGTGTAGCCTTCACCTTGACCTAAGTATAAAATATTATTTTTTGTGGAAAATGTAAAAGCTTTTTTTGCTGCATGCCGTTTGTACAGAGTGTACATCTGCTCCAGAGAATTTATAAGATATCTTGTCTGCTCTTCAGTAAGATGTTCCAAGTTTGGCAAAAGCAGGAGTGCTATAACAAAGTATGGATAAGGTGTCGATTCGTAAATTCCGCGACAAATCTTGCCTGCAATCTCCAAGCCTTTGTTGTACATTTCTTGGAAATGTGTGGCCTTGGTTCCTGATGGACCATAGTAGCATATTGCACAATTGACTATGAAGTAATGCGGAAAGTACTTCATGTCCTCCGTGTTCATCAGGTTCTTTAACAAAGTGAAGATATCACAGAGCCTTTTTTCCATTTGTGGATCAAACAACTTCTTTAAAAGAAATTCAAAATTGCTTCCACCGGCCATTTTTAGCTTGATGTCATCACCAACTGCGTTGGCGATTATTTCCTTTTTTTTGGAAAGCTGATGGGGACTGTAAATAAGTTGGGACACTTCTGCATACGTTTCACAGAGTTGGTGGTACTTTTTGGTCATAAAGTCCGATGCTTTATGATACAGAACTTCTCGGATAACCCAATCCAAACATCTTTCTATGTTGGCAACCAGATTTTTCAGATAATCATGATAAGGTGCCCATAAACTCGATATGGATGAAGGAAGGGTTTCTGTGTCTTTCATCAAGTAGTTTTGAAGTGATAGCTTCCCTAAAGGAGAGTCGCAGTGAAACATTCCAGTCAAACTAAGTAGTTTGATAATGTACAGTGCAACATCCAACTCATCGAGGAAGCCAGACACATTAATAGTCGTACTTTCTTGGCTTTGCGCTTCTTGAGATTCTTTGAACCAATGTGAAGCATCTCTTGCAAGTTCCAACGCTTTACACAGATCACGTTCTTGAATCCTTTCTTTCTTAATCAGTTTTCTTCTAAAAGTGTGTTTCATTTCAGCTCTATACGTCTGCCCAAGTGTATTAAAAATAAAAGGGTTATTCTGCCTGATATCGCAGGCTTTCTTGGCCCATATTTTGGCATCATCGTACTTTTCACTTTTAATGAGTAACCTGGCTATGGCCTGAGCAATAAAGGCTGAAAAAGGTTCTTCACTAAGCATTTTAAATGCTTTCTCAAGAACCTCAATAGCTGCAGCTTGCCCTTTGCTTTCCTCACATATGGCTATGACCAAATTGGAAAAAAGTGCTTTGTCTAGTTCCAATTCTTCAGCATCAATTTGTTCTGTAGCCACATGTCTTAAGCTGTCCAATGGGTGTCTGTGCTCTTTGTACTGCCGCTTAATAAGCATTTCATTTACGCTTTTCAGGAAATCGTCTTGGGCAAATCGATGATGGAACATCGCTTCTTCTTGAAAAAAGTTAAGAGCAATTTTTGTCAAATCTGTTGACATTTTTGAGTACAAGTGTTTTAAAATTTCTTCAGCAACCATTGGGTGAACAATACGAATTGCTCTATATAAATTGTACTGCTCTCTTTGCAGATCAATTAATAGAAAAGATATTGCCTTGTGCAAAAATGTTCTAAAATTACTCAAGTATCCATGGATGCCAAAGAATTGCTGACAGTGTGAGACAGGAAGGGAGAAATCCTCAACATACACACTCAGCAGTGCAACATAGGCCAAAAAATCTAACTCTCTTTGAGAATTGGGAACTGACTGCAAAGAATCTTCCACTAACTTTGTTACGTAGTCCCTGGAAAAGTTATTTTTCATGACCATGAAGGAGATAAAGGATTTCGTTTTTTCTAAATGCTCTTTCTCTAGTTCATGGTGCTTTTCCACAATTGCTGTTGTCTCAGTTTTTGTAAGAGTGTGAGTCAGTGGGATGCTTGTATTCGGGTTTTCCTGGCACAGTGTTTCAGGATTTGTGGCCCGGCAACAGCTCAGGATGAACACAGTGGGCCGTGTTACTCGGCATCCTTTTCCATCGATTTGCTTAGAAATGTTTTTGCGTAACTGCCCAACATCGAATGCGGCATTGTCAACTAACAGCAAAACGGAAATGAAACCATCTTCTTGTCTTACATTTGTATCGTCTTCTTTGTTGTAAGTCAATAGATGCACCACATTTCTTGCTATTTCCAATGTGTTGTGCACATTATCATTCACAACTGCACACCTGAAGTCTTTTCGCAAATCCCACAAAACATTCATGCCCATTGTAGTTCCGCCACAACCTGGATGATGAAACAGGTTAACTATTTTCACAGACTGATATGTATTCTGTTCTTGTCGTGTAATTGCTCTTTTAAGAGTATCATAGTTGTCCCGCTTAAACCAACATTTAGAATATCCTCTATCTGTGAAGTAAAATAACCACCAGGTGATCTTGCCACCTTTGTAATAATTTGTTTCTTCTTCAAGCTTGAATTTTCTAAACTTGTTTTCATCTTCTTCTATAGCACAGTCTTCACATTGGTTAAGGTACAACACATTCAAGGTGGACATGTCTTTTTCAGTTTCATCATCCACAATGCATAGTGCGCCATTAAATTCTGGAATGAATTTTTTGTCCATGCGGGTCTCCTTTTTAATGCTGAGGACTGTATCATTCACTTCACGCATTTTCATCCCTTTCATACAACGATCCTCCAATTCTTCTGGTTTGAGAATACTTTGTAGACTGATCCACTTATCATAAGTGTTTTCATTGTCTGCTAAGCACAGCATATGCTGGTGTCCATGCATTTCTTTGTAGAAGCATTTTAACACCTCCAGCATTGGGTCTTTTTCTGAATCGACTGTGCTCAAAAGCAGGAATACCACCAAATGTGTGCCTGTCTGTAGAACTCTAGTGCAGAGAAAGTTGATCACATTAGCCACAGCTGAGCTACGATCACGATGCCACATATCAACATCCATCCATGCTTCTTTTGAATCATTGAGCGGAGACCATCCGTTACAGTATATCCATTGACATATCTTTCCAATCTTCATGTCATCACAAAATTTGTCCAGGCCCTTATACCAGCCATCATATGCCTGTGGTGAATTCAGCTGAACGGCCAACTTATTAACCCTAAACATTTTGTGCAATCCATTGTAATAAGATTTTGAATTAAAATCTAATACGGCAAGCCACGGGATTTCTTTAATAAACGTTACGTCTTTCAAAATAGAATCTGTTTCAGGACTATTTGTGACCAATAAATAATGATCATAAGTAGACTCGTCAAGTGTTTTCTCACCACCGGTAATAAGTTTAGTAAGTTTTAAGTCAAGATCGGTGTGCATTGCTTTCCTTTCAGTTTTTGATGTGTGCACTTTTTCACACTTAAGCCTCCGATTTATCAACACCGGTAAATTATTTTCTAAGTATTGCTCAATGTTGCCGATCTTTTCTGATAAATCTCGATCCCGTTTAAAAGCTATTTCTTTTGCACCCTTGCCTACATCTGGTATCAACTTTACACGTACAATCTTATTTCCACATGTTTTATGGGCTGGCACTATGTCAACTTCGATCACAAATAAGTTATTTGCCAAATGTGTACCGGAGGAACTTACTTTTACAAATCGAGGTGGTCTCATACAAGAGCTAACAATTGTTCGCTCATCATCAGTACATAAACATGTGGCGAGGCCATCCAACAACCACTGCTGGTAGTTTCTCACATCGGACACATCTACTCCAAGAACTTCAGCATGTAGGCAACCATTTTCCTTGTCCCCCACTCCAAAATGGATAGTGCCATTTGTTCTACTGTTTATGCAAGCTGAAGCAAACCTGAAAGTTTCATTTATAAAAGACTTCCTTTTTTTCTCCTCAGAAGTGCAAGTCCCAGGTTGAAAAGCCTTATATTCATGGCAGGGTGTGATCAAATTCCCTTTGCCAGATTCAGGAGGTAAACATTTCCCTTTGCCATAACTGTATTTAGAACTATCACTTTCAAAGGGGCATGGGTCAATGAATATAATCTCTCTTCCTTCATTACCTATTGTTAATGTACAATTCGGATCAACCATAGCAGGTGTTTCTGTAAACCCTTTTGAGTCGCGTTTGCTCTGAGGCAATTCCTTTTTCTTTTCCGACTCAGATTCAGCAAGATCTGTTGCCAGTTTTATTGTACTGACTGGCACTGTGTCTTGCACAGATTTAGAAAGATACTCATCTCTTTTTTTAATCAGTAAAATCATCTGCCCTCGAGGTATCTTAAAACTATCACAATCTTCTTTACTTAGAACAACAAGTACGGCCCCCGTGACTTCTTCTTGCTTAAGTTTGTCACATGAAGACTCGTTAAACTGGATCTCACGAAGCCAGTTCTGAACGTGGTTGTCCTTCCAGTCTTTCATATTTTCTGGACGACGCTCTGTAAAGCCAAACATTGCAATAAAGGCAAACATAACAATAAGCAAAAACATCAAAACACCAGTATTCTATATCTATATTACATTGCCAGTGTATTAACAAAATATTGCATTTTTTTCTTTTATTTTTATTTTTCTATCGACGTGACTTTACCGAAAGAACCAAGAATATGAATTCCTGAAGTCACGAAAGTTAAGTCGAGACTCCTAACTGGCAAACTAAAATCAGCCCCACAGACTTGGTTACTCCTCCTCTCCCATATTGCACCAACACACTCCATACATAATTACAGCACAGAAATTTTATTTCCACACACTGTAAACTGTGCATCTTGAGCACCACCCCTCTTTGAGAACAGCAGGTACCACAAGCAAACATGGTTTATTTGTGATACACGTGGTTGAAGGGCTTTTCCCACTCATCTATACCACTGCCATGCATTTTCAAAATATGCACGTGTGGCATATGCAAAACTTGCAGTGCATTGTCTAGCCTATGTAGAAAGGCACGAAAATCATATTGTATTTATCAATAAAAATACAAACAAGATTCCTCACTCACCTTCAGTCTCCGAAACAGTTTTGTTGACCTGAATATTTCGATTTAGCACTCGGCCCTTTGAATCCAAACCATCTCCTCCTTCAAAAGGGGGCGTTTCTGCACCGCCTGATGCTCCTTGCGAGTCCACTTTGTTAGACAGCTGCCCAGATGAGGGCTTAGTTTTAGCAGTGGCTGGTTGCTGTCTTGGGGAGGTGCTTCCTGAATGTGAGCTGACGACTGGATTTTTTTTCTTTTTCTTGACCTTTGATTTCTTCCATGTAGCACCACCTAAGAGGCACAATGTAACAAATGCAATATTTAAGATACAAAGAAACACAATTAAAGTACAAAAGGGGACAAATTGTGCTCGAGTCCGTCGTGCTGTAAATGGTGGCACACATTTCCCACTCACCTACATTCCTCTTATCCATCCCAACCGAACTCCACTCGTAATACCGTTCACGCACTAATTAAGCTGCGCACCGCAGTAGATGGTATGCATATGTCCACAAGCAACTTTAAAGCTAGAGTGCAAACTGTATTTATCTGTTATACAACATTCTGGAGCCTATTTCCTTGAACGGCACTATCTCATTCTTTTCAGTCAAAACTCAAGATAGCTGTCCTTCCTCCGCACCTCCAATTAGGACGGTTAGCTATGTACGGCGCGCGTTAAAGAAGTTCAACAAACATACATAATAACCACAAATGACACTACATCTATGTCTCATTGAAACAGACTGATAACTAACGTTTAATGTTTTTGTTGTTTATTCAGCACCCTTGTAATGGTTTGCCAAGTAATGGCGCTATATAAATTTGCATTATTGTTTATTTTATTCATAAAGACAATACTTCAAGCCCATCAAAATCTATTCAGCTTTACACATCTAGTGATTCTAATCCTTCAACCTCTGCTTCAACGTGATGGCAATAATTTGGATTACACTGTGCAAAGGTGAAGTTTCGTGATGAAATTGTAAATACGACATTGTAAATAAATATTTTTACGAGGTAATTAAAGCATATTTATCTCAATTTGTTATTATTTGCAGTATATCAGATATCCCCATTAACTGTGAATGTTCTTCCAATAATTAGTCTGACTTTGAGAGGTTTTACTGCACCACAAAAAATTCTGAGCTAAATTCCTCACTCACCTTCAGTCTCTTCAATAGCCTTATTGGCCTGAATATTTTGAAGTAGAACTTGGCCCTTGCAATTCGAACCATCTCCTCCTTCAGAAGGGAAGCTATCTGTTCCACCTGATGGTCCTTGCATGAGTCGGTCCTCTGAGTCCACTGTGTCAGACAGCTGCCAAGATGATGGCTTAGTCTTAACACTGGCTGGTTTCTGGGAGGTACTGCACGGCTGTGAGCTGACAGCTGGACATTTTGATTTTTTCTTTGCCTTTGATTTCTTCATAACATCACCACCTAAGACGCCAAATGTAACCAATACGATATTTAAGATACGCAATACCGCAATTATAGTACAAACGCAGACTACTGAACACTACTTTTGTTGTACTATAAATGGTGTCAAACATTTTCCCACTCTGCTACACAACCCTTACACCTGCAGCATCAGCAAAACTTGCAGCACATTGTGCAAACCACATTGAAAAGCATGGAAACAATCTATTGCCATCATCATCAGCCATGATCTATTCACTAATAAAGGACCCTCCTCCCAAGCTACCACCATCTATAATGGTCTTGTGATGCAACAATTCACGTAGCTACAGCATACGAGAAACACATTACTTGCAGATAACACGCAAGTAATGGTGAGTGATTTGCTGCACAACTCTTATCTGTAAAACAAAATGTGCGGACAATAGGACACTATTCCATAGTTAAGGCATGGTTAAGAGTATATTAATAAGAAAAAAATAAGAGCTGCAGAAAATTTGAGCTTTTGTGCATCTTACTGTTAATAGGAGTTGCAGGTAATATGGCCGTGGATGAGAGAAGTTCTCATGTACTGTATTACTAATACATCTACCAAACTAGATTCCTCACTCACCTTCAATTTCTGAAACAGGTTTGTTGGCCTTGCAATCTCCTTCGGAAGGGAACGTTACTGCATCCCGCGATGCTCCTTGCGAGATTAGGTCTTCTGTGTCACACAGCTGCTCAGGTGATGGCTTAGTTTTTGCAGTGGCTGGTTGCTGTGATGGTGAGGAACTTCCTGACTGCGAGCTGACAGCTGGATCTTTAGATTTTTTCTTTTTCTTCAATTTCTTCAAAGTATCACCACCTTCAAGGCCAAATGTAAGCATTGACATTTAAAATATGCAACAACACATTTACGGAAACAAAAGACTCACTATATATAACGTTTGCACCTCTATCGTTCTGTGTGCACTTTAAAGTTTTTGTTCTATTTCCTAGGTTAATGTGCATGTTTATTATCCAGAGCAAGTAATATTAAATTTTAAAAGTTCTTCTTTAGGCACAAAATAACATGTCTTCTCTCCAAAGTCTCCTCATTTAATGCATTTAACAACTCTGTTCATGAAATATCAATGTTGCTGTTACATCCTTGTAAATGGTTTTCACGTTTTGGTTTCTGAGAGCTGGGATGCATACATTTTTACCCAAATTATTTTTTCATATTTTACAAAGGCTCAGCGTATTGACGGAACTCCTCTTATCCGCTGTGATATGGGCGACCAATCGCATGGGTCCTATTACCCACGAATTTACTCCACTTATCTACGGTGAAAAATTGCAGATAAATAATTTACCACTCATCTCCTGATTGTTCACGAAAACATCGTGTCAAAGGCACACGGAGAAACACAATACATAATGTGCATATGACTCATGAATAATTAAAGGTGATTTGCTGCACTACTACTATTTGTGAAAAAAAATTGCGGGCAATTGTACAGCATTCCGCAGTAAAGCTGTACATAACGGCAGATATACATAATCAGAAGAAACAGAGCCGTGGATAACTTTACTTTTCTTTAAACTTATTGCTCCCGTGGATAATACAAATTGCAGGTAATAGGGCCATGGATGAGAGGAGTTCACCTATACTATATATACCAATGTACCAAACTAGATGATTCCTCACTCACCTTCAATCTCCAAAACAATTTTGTTGGACTGAATTTTTAGCTGTGGCACATGGCCTTTGCGATCCAAACCATCTCCCTCGGAAAAGGACATTTCTTCGCCGCCTGATGTTTCTTGGGAGATTTGGCCCTCCGAGTCCACTGCGTCACACAGCTGCCCAGATGATGGCTCAGTCTTAGCAGTGGCTGGTAGCTCTGATGGTGAGGTACTTCCTGAATGCAAGCCGACAGCTGGATCTTGAGCTTTTTTCTTATTCTTCACCTTTGATTGCTTACATGTATCACCACCTTCAAGGCCAAATGTAACCATTATGATATTTAAGGTATGCAGCAACACAATTGCAGTACGAAATTCTGCTTGTCAAACTAAATGTAAAAAAATATGTTAATATCTGAATATTTGGTTTAATGTTTCTACATCAGCAGCACCATACTATATTTCCAATATATGTTTTACAATAGGCTATACATTCAACTACACAAATGTAGCAGTACTATTAGTTTTAGTTACTCTAAAGGGACTATAGAGAATTTGAACGATGCACAGTACAGTGGAGGGGGGAAGTAATGGTGCAATTAGCATACTTTACTATGACTGACAATATTATTGGTTCTTTCGGTAAAGTCTCGTTGAAGGGAAACAATAAAATAATAAAATATATATAAAACAATAAAATTCTCACGTTTCGACCGCAACATAAGCAGTCATCATCAGGTGTTTTCACACCTGCTTGTGTCGCGGTCGAAACGTCGTGAGAATTTTATTGATTTATATATATTTTATTATTTTATTGTTTCCCTTCAACGTGACTTTACCGAAAGAACCAAGAATATGAATCGCTGCAGTCACGAAAGCTTTAAATCAAAATTTATGACTAACAAGTTGAATTTCCAGCCACAGTTAATGTATTAATCAATGATCATTGGCTCTTGGTCAGCAACATATCAATATGCTTTCAGAGTAAAGTTTTAAATCAGTCAATATTACCAGCTATGATGCATGACTAAAAAAACATGGACAATAACAATGTAACAAATTAATAACTTTAAACACAGGTTTACAAATATGGATAAAAAAAGAGTTAAAAGTGCACAAAGAAGTAAAAAGATATGCATGCTAGGAATTGCACTGAGAGACGGAAAGGGAAAGCACTGGTCATGGTATGTCAATCAAAGAGTGAAAGTGTCCAAGAGTATGAGCACTGTGGAGACAGACCAATGATATAAATCAGCTCAAGTGCTGAAGTGAGATGGATTGTGACATTGTAGGATCTTCATCCAGCAGTGGATTGATCATTTTTAATGATCTGCTGATGCTGAAGCACTGTAATGTAAATTCCATAACTTACCACCCATCGGTGATACATGTGGACCTTTATCTTCAACAAAAGTTGTCTCTTCTGCTCCCCCTGATGCCCCTTGTAGGGAGAGATTGTACAGTGCATGCTGGTCACTTTGCTGCTCATCTTGAGACACAGAGGCCTGTCCATCTTGCACATTAGTGGGAGCTGAAACATTGTCCATCTGTTGCTTATTATTTTTCTTTTTTCTTCCACCTCCTAGCAGACCTAAGCAAACCTCTATATTTGTCCCATTGCCCACTCCAAAATTCTGCAAGGGACTGCCCTGTAAAATCTGAAAAACAATCATCTTTCCATTACTGCATTGCATCTTATTTGCCACGATATTTTGAAATGTAAGTTCATATTCTTGATTATTTCGGTAAAGTCACGTATAAGGGAAACAATAAAATAATAAAAATATAAAACAATAAAATTCTCACGACGTTTCGACTGCAACACAAGCAATCATCATCAGGTGTGAAAACCAAAGTTCATGTTCATCTAAAACTGCTCAACTGTGTAGTTCTTTTAAAGTAGTGTTTATTAAACAATTTAGTGAGGGGGAAGGTGGTTAAGCACCTTGCGCTATGAACCTGGCATCCAGAGTTCGATTCCCAGCTACGGATAACACCAGTGGTGAACGATTTACGAACTAACTTTGAGCCCTCTTTCACCATTCCATTCTGCCCAATACAGGTACCAGCATAATTGTGAATAATGAAAAAACAACCCCTATGACTGATATGGTGTGGGGAGGCCCTCAACCAGTAGTGGATTGAAAAGGGACTGTACATTATTCATTACTAAATTATAAAGTACTGTACTAACCATAATTCAATAAGGATATAATGTAAACGTTTATGAATATTACATTTCTGTAATTATGGAAAGTCATAATACAATGCAAGTATTGAAATTCATAAATAAGTACTAAGCAGCAACTGTAAGACCTGTACTGATTAACATGAACAATCGACCTGGACTGTTTGCTATTTTACCTTTCTGCAGCCACAAAAAAATGATGCAATTGTTGGGATTTTAACCCCCTTTTCCCCAAGAGATTCAACAACATCTTCGAGAGTAGAAGCAGGGTTAACTGTTATTTCCCAAAGAAGGAGATCCACATCTCGTACATAAATGGAATATTCTGCAAGCCTAAAAAAGCAATTGTCAGCCAGAAAAAAAAAGTCAGCATTAGTCAGCAGTAGATACTGTAAACAACTTTAACACAATACTGTACATAGAGCTTTGAACACAATCACATTTATCGTTCAGTCCTGATTACCTCTAGACCTTGGTTACACATTTAGAGACATGGAATGCAGTTAAAAAGTGAACACCGCAAATTTAGGCAGAAAAGTCTCTCCCAGTCCCAGGACTCTTTATCAGGAGGGTCCTGCAAAGTTTTTACAGTTCGGGGCAAAGATTGTTCTGTATATTCCAAATGAGAAATATATTTTTTTAATTCAGACTATTAATGCCAGCACACATTTACCTACCCTTGCAAATTACACCATGGGATCTTAACATTCACGGTGAAATAGACGGCACATTTTTCGTATATTTACGGTCAGTTCACACGCAGTAGTAGGCAGTGCAGGTGCTGGATTCAAACCGAGAACCCCTGCAACAAGCAGCAAAATACACTACCACGAGGTCATGTCACCGCTACTGTATAATGTACTAAAGTAGCATATGACAGTATCCTTTAAAAAAATGTGTACAATGCTGTACTTACAGCAATCGCTTTTTTTCTATTTATAGTAGGGAAATGTCCCTCGGCAACCGTGGCAGTTACGTTCGTGAAAAAAGCAAAACCGCGGTTGGAAAATAGAGGGTTAGGATAACCACGGCAGCGGTCACACTCGTCAAAGCCTAAGTTGCCCGAATTAGGCTTTGACGAATGTGTATTTTATCCACAAATAAAATCCACAATAACATAGTTTTAAAAAAAAACAATACATGTTCAAAAATTCCGTGATTCAAAATAATAAAATAATGTTATTTAATTTTAATACTGAGCGTTGGATTTCATGGTGAAGATGATGTTGACGAGGTCATGGGGGAGGTGGTTATTAGAAGTGTCGTGATCTGTGGCCATGCCTGTGTCCCTGTATGAAGGTGGCTGGTTTAATTCTAGATTTAAAGCTTTCGTGACTGCAAGGATCCATACTCTTTGGCCGAAACGTTATGATTTTGGTTGTTTTATTTTTTACCTACGTGACTTTACCGAATAGAACCAAAGAGTGTGGCTGGGTTACTTCGTGTGGGATTGGAAGGGCGAGCCGGTGTGTTGGGTATGTGAGACGCACACCCAGGATGATTGCTTGGGCGGTGTGGCGACCGCCCAGGGAGTGGGGTAATTGGGGAACAGCTGTATTTAATAATGGAATAATTCATGAATGGAGAGCTGTCTCTTTAAAGGGGCTGAGCCAGAGATCGAAAAAGGTCTTGGGCGATGGGTGAGCTGGTGCCTTGGGCACGCCTGGGTAGCTCTCTGCTATATTTTAAGCTGCTTTTAGGAGAACTTTTACATTATTTTAAATCAAATAAAGAGCACCTGATGGACACCACTCCTGCTGTGGCCGCTCCAATTAACTCTAAATCGCACCACCTCATAACAGAAGGAAAAGGGGCTTTGCCAACCCTCTTGGTTGCACGCCGAGGGGCCATGTTTAAGGGAAAAATTAATGCAAATAATTATAATTGAAGGTAAAGAAACGTGGAATAATACGTAACAATACGACAACGTTCACATTACAACAATCACTATGCGAGAGTGTTGGTGGTGGAAAGGGAGCCGGTGGTAGGGGCTAGGAGATGAGATGATGCACGGAGGGGGAATACAGATACAGGTAATTTGAAATTACAAGTGGCAGCCGCCTTGCTAAACCGCGGATACACGAAACGCCATACCGTGGTGAGCAAATTGTTATGCCGAAGGAAAACCGTGAGTACATAAATACCGCGGATGCGAAAAATCCGCTTTGGCGAGGGATCGCTGTATTTTTATGCACAAGTTATTGGTTTGCGTAAAATTAATTAGACCACTTTATTTACGATACAATTTATCCTCAAAATGTGAGCAGATATACCAGGTCCTGCATCTAATACGTTGTTTGGAGAACTATAAAATGGGACAAAGGTGACGAGATATTCACTACCTCGCTAGGTATACAGGAGGTCGTGGGTTCGATCCCGACTGAGTTTGTTACATGTGCAAGTAAGCTCTATTGTGATGTGTTACTTTTCTCGGACAAATATTACAACTGATCCGTATTTATTGTTGGGGTAGTTTTATGTAAAAAAAAATTGCTGGATTAAAAGTACCACGTGGCCTCACATGAACAAATAGGGATCGTTGTCTTGGCTTGGAAACCTACGTTTTTAAGTTATCTTAAATGTACAGTATTGTACTGATATGCAATGGTTGCAGTATCTGTACTTTGTGTTATTACACTTTGTGTAGTGCGTCATGGACCTCAAATTGAGCTTGGCCTCTTAAAAATGTTTTCAACGAAAGGTGTAATTGTTCACAGCACCTACCATTGTGTTGTGTCTTGCAGCTCCCAAACTGTTGATTGTTGCACCTTGCGCAGCTGAGCTGCAACCTCTTTCTGACGGTTATGTATAGGTTGCCAAACACGTTCAGTGCAGGAACACATTGTTGGTAGCTGTTCCTGTACAGAATGAAGAATATATTTTTGCGTGAGACTTTGCCACACAGTACAGCAGAAATCCAATAATTAACGATTGGCTCCCGCAATTGGCTCCCGCAATTGGCAAAGCGGTGGATTTAAACTGCTTCGCACATCGCAAATCGCGATCCAAGTGGAGCTGCAGGTAAAGCGAAAAACGATTAACACATGACAGATTTGCTCATATTGAAGATTTGCTCCATTTGGATCTTAGAATAATACATTTATTGCGGATTAATTTAGCAACTAGGCACGTACCGTGCATTCCCTGTATTCCACAAGGTTTTCGCAGATGAATGGAATTTCACGAATAATTCATCCCATAATCCACGACACTACGCGTCGGCTAAAACGTTTTTTTTCGTAATATAAGGCCAACCTTCATGGTATTATACATGCTTCGGATTACGGGTCACGTGACAGATGTGACGTCATAGCTCACTTGCCGTGCAAAAAAAATATGCATTATTGAGCCCCCCCCAAAAATATACAAAAGTGTATTTTTATATTTTTAGCATAGTGTACAGTCTGGAAAGTACTCACATGGCAAATTTCAAGTTTGTTGCATGTCGGGAATTAACAGACACATTCATAAATTTCCCTTTTTGATATATATAGTGAAGAAAAAAAGATAACATGCTACACCAGAAAAGCTGATTGCAGTGCCTCGGTGATGTGACGTAGCTTTTCACTGTAATTAACTCTAACGTGTACAATGCATAATCTTAATGCACAACACAGTTATTGTACGACTCAGTGATTTTTACGTGACAATGTCGAAGACAAGTTGACCTTAAAAGCAATGTACGTACCATGAAATTTATTTTGATCTGAAACATTCTTATTTTTTACAAAATAGCTCTTTGCCGTCTAAAGCAACTGTCAACTTTATCACGTCTTGCAGCCCTGGATATTCATTATTCACAGCCAAAAGCGACTTCACATCCCTGTTAATAACCTGTAAATGTTACAAAATTGGCCATAATTTAACACTCAGCAATATCACCTCCACCGATGCCCCCTATAAGAACGCTACAATGCCTCTCGCTGTACAGATTTCGGGTAAACGTTTAAATCGTTTAAATCCTACACAACACCTTTGGCATCGTTTTATTATTCCACGCTTTATTTTAACTCCCTCTGTTGTTTTATCCTCAAATCTTGTAACTCAATTTTAACCCACATCCCAATGGTATCGACTGCAAACCTGGTATACACACATGTCAAACTGATGACAACACTATATTCTATCATAAAAAAATAAACATATACTTCAAAACATTATTTTTTTAATACATGTTAAGTTTCGGCTTGGCTCTAATTATCCACGGTAAACGTGTTATGGCAAGCTTCGGGGCCTGCTTACCTAAAAGTTCTGCCATTACTTGTGCAATTTAATTAAAGCGTGTTTTTTTAAAAGGAAAAATAAAAAGTTAACTTTAAATATTACTTCTTGACAAACCTAACAGGCACGCCCTGAACCCGACCAGCGGGCCTCCAACCCCCGCAGCGTTTTCGCTCAAACAAAACCTAAACAAACCAAATGCCGATAGATTTTGACTCGATATAACTTATGAAGTTATTGAAACATTTCGCTGGACGATGTAGCAAAAAAAATCATCCTTAAAACATGTGACGAGACACTTGAACAAATACCGCACAAGGGTGGTTAAATGTCCTGTGACTCCCCAATTGACTACTCCCATTGTTTTTTACTTTACATATGCACGTCTGTTTTAAACAAAACCCTTATTTAAACAACAACAAAAATGTTACGCTTTCGGAGGGAATGAAATGGTGGGTCACGAGTCACGTTAACCACCGGGCCGACGGTAACAGCACTGTGTTAAGCACAGCAAACTCACACGGGCTACTCAATAGCAGTCCACACAATACGTACCTTATGGAATCCGCTCAAAAAATAAACATAACAGTGTTATGTATATTGTGTCGCTCGGACACAATTGTCACGGCGGGGAAGTGGGGGAAAGGGAAAATAAAACCTCCCCCAAGGTCACAATAAAGCCACTCGCGACGCACCAGAGTTTGCAACTCGCTGTTTCCTTGTTGCTCGTCTTATGGCGAGCAACAAGGAAATCGCCTCCCACATACTTCCCCCCACACACACACACAGTCCTACAACCACTACTAAAACAGCACTGCCAAACCTGCCAACCCCTTGTCAGTGCCCTACATTATTACAGACCAAGTCAGAACGTATTGGTCACCCCGTGCTACCTTTATAAATCTCAACGTTCGTCCCACAGAGTCCCATCAAAAAGGGAGAAACACACAAAAATGCTCTTGTTTAAACGGCTGTACGCCGTATGGACGTGAAAACTACATTTACTTGTACAAGAATACAGGGTAAACCGTATGGGTTGACGGGTATGACACTATAGACTACACTATACACTACTATACACTACACTATACACTACTATGCACTACTTCATACCTGTCAAACCCTTGTCAGTGCCCTACCTTATTACTGACAAATTGAGACCTTATCGGTCACCCCGTGCTACCTTTATAAATCTCAACGTTCATCCCACAAAGTCCCATCACAAGGGAGAGAAACACAAATAGGACACACACAAATTTGCCCTATTGAAACGGCTGTACGCCGTATGGACCTAAAAACTCAATTTCCTCTTGGCTGATGATGTTCCACAGGTCCAGGTTATCGAACTCGTGTGGCCAGGTTTATGGCACAATCGAGGACACGTGTAACGAGGTGTGGATTACCAATTCATTCTACCTCTTCCAAGACGTACGTGGTGAGCGTTTAAGAGAAAACCAAATATGAAAAAAAATAACAACATGCGTTTACCCTTCTCTGAAACTGGTATTGTGGATGTTCCAACACCAAATGGGATACCTTTTGTAAAGGAATCGAGTACTGCATGTTCACCACGCACGGTAATTGTGGTGAACATGCACACAAACACGCTATGATAATGAGACGTATTGTCTTTGAAACCGATTGGCCTACACCAGAGACGAGAGCCTTCTCTTTAGTTAGGGCCTCGTCTCAACACCAGTGTCAGACACTACAAGGCCAAATACCCTCTAAGAGGGGTTCTGATGAAGCAGTCGCTTGTTCAAATAAATTACATCTTCACCTTTTCGTTGACATGCGCCGCATGTACTGTGCAGTGCACGACTGTAGTCTCCTGAATTGTTATATCGGTTTACGAGGTTAGTTTCGCCAAACGCGTACATGCACCGCGCATAGCAATGTAATATACTGTAGCACAATATGCACTCGCATACTGAATTATAACTCACAATTTTCACGAGCTAGGCTGTAACCATGACCGACACTATGTGTGGGGGGGGGGGGGTAGGCCTTAAGCGAACAGAGGAATAACTACAAAACGGGTGCCGTTAAAAGGAGATCAAATTTGCAAGTTGTTCCGCATCTACAAATGAAACCGTACGCTCGTCAACACAATGGGATACTTGTGTGTGTATAAGCGACTGTGAAGATAGCCGTCAAAAAAACACACACACACACGCGCGCGTAAAAACGTATCTACCACGCTCTTATAATAATGCTTTGTGACACCGCGGACCTTTTGATCAGTCCATGTCGCCGGATGGTCGTGAACACACACAAAGTCTCCGTGGTGCTCTCTCCACTGCCACCCTGCAACAGCAAGCTGAAGCTGCTGCCGCAGCAGAAACTGCCCGACAGGAAATTCCAATCCCACAGAAGACTTCCCCTCCTCCCCCCCCCTGCCTCTTTCCCCAATCGTTTCCCCCATAATGATGCATTTGTTAGGTTTCAGTTCCGTTAAGGCGTGCCCATAATCATCATCATCCGTTCGTCAATATGTTGCACACTCGAGATGAAGGACGGTTGGGGCAGTAGCTCCAAATCGAGGGCAAACACATTGATTGTGGTAAATGTGTAAAACGGCATTTAACAAAGCGACTGGTGTACAAGTCCGGTTAATCAATAACAGTTTCACACTGCCTTTAGTGGAAAAGACTGTATGGGTAAGAGACGACTTTTGTGCTATGCGTGCATTTTATGTGCCACGAAGAAAGGTCATTGCCCAAACCATCGCTGTATATTTCTTTCTGAGGCCACTGTTATTGACGAATGTGTTGTTTTATCGTGCACCACTGCCAACGCAGCTCCAGCAAATAATGTTTTAATCATCAGCCATGATCGACGATTCCTCCTCGGATTGCCACTTTTTTCCAGACATTTCTCAGCCAGCCTTCTTGAGCCACCAAACATAGTTGCAGTATTAAAATAAGCAAGTTAAATCATCAGCCATGACCAAAATCCACCACGAGACGAAGGCCTCACCACCAACCAAGTCTTTGCAATTTCTCCTGATCCTGCAATGTAATAGTCCACCTAACATCTCCATATTAACTTCATTCCATTGCTGCATCTCCTCAGCACACATCCTCTGGGAAGACGTTACATTCCTTGGCTCCCGGTCATTATTTTTGACCGTGCGTCACAGCAACGTGTCCTGCCCAAAGCCACTTAGAACTATTGAGGAGTGTCATCAAATAAATGAGCATGGGGAAACTTTGACAAAGTGGCAGAACTTATTATTCCCATTTTGCCAATCTCAAACAGTCGACGTCTTCTCAGCGTGGTATAACACTCACTTATCGTTTCAAACTGGATCTCAAAATAGGCCAAAACGTCGGCTATAATATATTTATCTTTTAAGGTAGTGTTATTGACGAATTATGTTGAGTTTTTGGTGTGCTTATGCACGACAGCCAATGCAGAATCGCCAATTAATGTATCGTCTGTGTGCTGCTAGAGAGACCCAAGATGTCAAAATCCGTCCAGACTTTGCTTGCTTAAACAACGATCTCAACGCCAGTAGGATAATGGACTAAAACATTGCATTTGGAAAGAAAACAGATGTCTCCTTGTACATTGCAATGCATGCAATGTAATGCACGTATATGCATTTTATGTCTCGAGGTAATTTGGCTTAAAAAAAATACCAAGCAAACTGCATAAGAGTGGCCAAGTGGTGTACAGCCGTTCATTGTCACTCAACTCCCGGGTGAGGGCCTCCCCACATCGTGTGGGTCCTGGAGGTTATTTGGCCATACTTCACCACACTTCTCAGTGCGGGTTTCCCACGGGTCCTAATCTAAATACATTGCAACAATGGGTTTTGTTGCACATTGATCATTTATCTTCATTTGCTAATGGAATTAACACCAGAGCAGTTATACTGTGCACAGGACTGCATTTTATAAAGTATGTTAATTTGCGAGTATACTTTATGCTTTGTTAAATTCGAACAAGTTAAGGAAATTAATGCATGAATTTACAATGTGTACACATTTTTGGGACAATATAATGCATTACTTTAATACTCTGCCGCAGTACAATGAAAATACACGTGTTTTTGTACAATGTTCCTTTTCATAACAAAGGGAATGTTTGTCTTTCATGTTTGTGACAGGGAGGCCAGGTTACATCGTGAGGCCCATCAGAGGCTCGGATTACCGGTACACCCAATTCAGCAGAAGTCTCCAACCTGCTTTTTATTTTCAGCACAGTGCCATAGTATACGAATGTTGGATACATGTGTAGTGGTTGAACTTTACACGAACAACTTTTGTCCTTCTTCAACCACTTATTTATTTTCATCGTTTTAACACGTCCTCCACACTCCACCGTATCCCGGACACCCCGTCTTGCCCACCACCTTGGTTCACAGTATCACGTCGCTTTGCTCCGCACACCTCGTCTCCAGCTCCTCTATTACTACGCTCTCTCCACTGCTAACTGCTTCGTCTTGCTTCAGCTTCGCTATCACTATGCTCACTCCACTGCTAACTGCTTCGTCTTGCTTCGGCTTCGCTATCACTATGCTCACTCCACTGCTAACTGCTTCGTTTTGCTTCAGCGTCGCTATCACCATGCTCCAACTCTCTTCTAAACTCTTGTTTCCGAACTCCGTCTTCACCGCACAGCTCCCAACTCCAATCTCCCCCTCTCTGTCTCCCCCCAATTTATCCCCATTCTCATTATCGCTAATTAATTGGTCCGCGTGCCTCCGCACGCCTCGCGTCTTCAACCACCTCCCTTTTTCCAGACACCTCGACGCCTCCTCGGCCCCAGCAACAGCACCAACCAATCACAGCCCTTCTGGCTTAATTGGCCCGACCCTTACCTCATCACCCCAGCCTCTTCACCTGGCTGTCCTAACACGACCCCACTGTTTCCGCCGTCTCCTCAGGCTGACCCCAGATAAACCCCACACTGTCCGTGTGATCAATACACTCGTGCAGTTTCACCAGCACACCTTCCTACTCCACTACACATGTGTAGTGTAACAGTGGATTCGAGTAATTAATGCAAGGGTTTCACAGAGTTTTTGGACGCCACTCCTCTTTTCCGATCTATGAACGTAATTACCTATTCTGTAATTACATAGCCTGTAAAGTGTGTGAGCCAACTGTTAATTATGTTTTAATTTGTCATGCTTTATAAGAGAACTCCTCCGATACCATTACCCTATTACCCACGACTACTGTTATCTTCAGGAGCAGTGGGGTCTGTGAAAAAAACTATTGTTAGTAGCCCTATTCTTTGAGTTAAAAATGGATAACCCTGCATAAAATAGCATCCGCAATATTGGTTACCCACTTCACCATGGATACGATTCCTGTATTGTACAACAAATATTTTATTTTGTTTAGGGGCGCCACTAATTATTTCAACGGGGCTATGCATAAAATATAAAGGAGCAATACTCACAAATAAGCGAGTCTTGCTTTCATGTGCATTTCAGTTCGCAAAAAAGCCTGGTTTTCAGTAACACCAATAGCGCTACTATATTTTACGCTGTATTTTTCGGAAGTTACTTTTAAAATTTGTAACAATTGTTGTTTTTGTAATTTATGGTAAATTGTTCGAAAAAATTACTCTAATACATTTTGTTAAATTTTGAAATGTTTTACTTATCTGTTCATTCAGTGCCCCCTTGTGACCGACTAGGCCCCAAAGCGTCACAGACCCCATAGTTGCGCTCCTGCTACTGTGATCTTAAAGGAAATATTTTATACTGGTAGGAACCTCTGGTTACACCATCCCACAAGGGATTGTGTCCGTCCGTCGTGTATCCAAAAATGGGAGGGGCTGGGTGGAGAGGGGCTGGTCACCCCGTGGTGCCCTTATAAAACTCGTTTCACCTACTCACACCAGCTTGTGCCCACTGTCGGGCATATTTGCAGAATACACCACGCCGCCGTTGACCCTGGCCATTGACTGAGCAACCCAACGTTCCTGCCAGCTCCCTCCACAGGAATGTTTAACATTTTGGTCTTTGCTTTAGTGACAATTTTTTTTACTTTAAATTAACCTGCTTCATTCTAATACATCAGCAGCCACGTTAACCATTAGGTTGAGGCTTTCCTACTTTCTCCCAAATCCTGCAATTCCAAAATCCTCACTCCTGATCTGGTGAAATGGCCTAGCAGTCGCATGTTCATCACTTGTTGCAGGTTAGCGGTTTGAATCCAGCAGCCTTCACGATTAATACTGCGGGTGTATTAGCCGTAAATATACATGCCATCTGCTCTAATGTACATTTAAGACCTAATTTTATAATTCACAAGCCTTAAGTACATAACAGCTACCGTTTCATACAAGGGCCCTGCTTCATAGGAGGCCCTGAGTGTACGAGTTACAGATTTGGGGAAATTTGCATCCAGCAGTGGAGTGGTAAAATGTTATTAAAAGTGCTACTCGGGAGAATGTAAAGCACATGAAATCCCTACAATTATTTCATTTGTAGGA